CACAATGAAATTGCAAGCGACACCGAGAAAATAGATTTCAAAAAAATAATGGAATCAGTGTTGACTTATAGGAGCAGTGAGGGACAATGTTGCTCATGTGCTTAATGGTGGTGAAGTCATGTTCATGTGATTCTGTTGTTGGCATCCAGCTCAAGCATTTTAATGAGCAGGTCCACAAACATGAGCCAGTCACTCCTTTCTGCAGTCCTCTCTGTCATGTCTGTGTGTTTTGCCTTATGGATCTGAGTCATGAATAAACAAATGACAACAATGTTAGGGATATCCTGTTCGAGTGATTTTTGAGTGTGTCTTATTTATGTTACAAAAATCAAGTTTTTTTAGTTTTTTTTTTTTACAGTGAATGAAGGACACCTATATCTTTATGCATAGTTAATGACATGGGAAAGTAAATATCTGTTCAGGTTGTTCTTAGCACATTCAGTATGAAATAACCAACATAAAAACATCTTACTCAGCTGCCTCATCAATAGCTTCCTTACCCACTGATTCAGCAATAATCCCCCTGATAATTACACAAATGTGTTAATCAATTAATTCAACAGGCATACATGCTAAACCTGCTTATTTTAAGGGGGCTGAAAAGGAAGACAAGAAGGAGGGACAAAGAAAGAAAACACAGGACGAGTTCAAATACTGCTTACTGCACATATTCTTATTTCATATTCTATAATTGCAATCTATTTCACTGTAAATTACTTCTCTATTTTATTGCTATTTAACTATATTTAATTAGTGTCCTTAAAGATTTTTTGTTTTATATGGAGATTTTTTGTTTTATATTTTATGTATGCACCACGACATCAAGACAAATTCCTCGTATGTGTGAACCTACCTGGCAATAAACCCGTTTCTGATTCTGATTAAAGAGTTGTTTCTGAGTCTGGTTCCATGTTTGTGCGTCGCCTCCCGATGAGCCTCGGCTGTTATTATCCCATCATGCAACAGAGCCCTGTCAGTTCCCTATTCATTATTGTCCTATTGTTATGAGCCAAGGATGGTGGTAATTAGAGATTCTCTGGTGATTGTTATCATGAAGCCCCTATTTTCTATTCACTCATTCAGTATTCAAGATAATGAGAAGTTCTCTCTCATTCTAAGATTCACAAATGCATTATCAGCCTGTTCTTCCCTCCGCTTTCTTTCTTTATTATACTTCTGCATAAATGGTAACAAAGAAGGGCTGAGAAGATTGTTTTTATTCGTTTTTTTCTCCCAACAGTGCATGTTTGCAGCTTCTGCGGGGTGACGATTGAAAACACGAGTGGAATACATTTAAATCGGATTAGACTAATTGTATCTTAAGAAAGGATTTTCTCGAATTTAAGTGAATCATAGTGCACCTTGATATTGTTAGAGATTAGAGAGCGTGACCTAAAGAAAGGACGCAGAAGACAGAGCTCTGTGATATTTTACTTGTAATTACATTGAGTTAGCCTTCCCACGGTGCACTGCTGTAAGTAAGCCAACCCCCTGCTGACAAATTCAACTGACAAAGCAAATATTCTCCCTCTCATCAGTCAATCCCTTCATCCTTGGTCCAATGTCTTCTGGGACAGCAGCGGGGGGAATTTGCGTGATATTAGCCAATGCCCGGGTCGGCACACTGAGGGGGATTTGCGATGATAAACCTCCTGCTTTGATGTCTCCTCAAATATCCAGGCTTGACAAAGTAAAACAAGGGATAGCAGGAAATTGAGTGGACCGAACCAACAAAAAAGATGCCCCTTCTGACCTTGGTATCAACAAACACAGAGAATGTCATTAAACCAATGTATACAAAAAATATTCATGTTCTGTCATTTCAAAATAGGGGATTAAGGCACAACATTATCCATGCCCAACACATACAGTATGTTAAGACATTATCAGTGCAAAAGCATTAACAAGAACCAAGTCATTAATATGTTTTTGTTAGTTAGCATTCACACTTACTGGCTGGCTAAAAGTGAAATGACACAATTCAAGTAGGTACTTCATATGTATACTAAATAGAGATTGGTCCCAAATAATCTTGCATTGAATAGCAGAGTCTTGTTTTTCAGCATGGCATAATGAGCTCCTCTTATTAAAAGAAAAGCAACAAAGGGAACATTTCTGCCAGACACCTGGGCAATTGGAGCAAGCTGTCTTCTCAGGCAAGGCGGCGGAGTGTATGGCTGTCAGTGTGATGTGTCCGACGCGGTGATAAAGCTAATTGTCGCCTCGCATATCCACTATCGAAGAAACTCTGGAGACCTGCGAAAAAGCTTATTCTCTCCCATTTCTTATTCCTCACAACTTCCCCAAATGATATTAAAAAGCCTGAGGGATACATTTGGGTGGCACAGTTAGAGAAAAGCGGTAAAAGTGATGTTGACGTTGCACTGGCTTCTGAATACTGGCTAGTGTAATATCTGTGACTCAGAATTAGCATGCTTTCACATGAACTCATGGCAGCAAAACTGATCAGAGAATTGAAATTCACATCAATGATGCACAAAATAAGTTCTCAGTGAGCCGGAGCAACTTTTAAGTCACTTTTACTCCTCAGAAACCACAGAGAGGATCCTCACCACAGTACTATTTGATCTAACAAATGACCTTAGATAAGGATAAACCGTTAACACATTATTTGAGATTTAAAACTGGTGCCGAGGCAATCACAGAGAGCACTTTGAGCTCATAGGATGGCAGCATGTATGATTTATCTGCATGTCAATTAAATCGATGGCTATTTTTGATCCGCATCGCCAGTCTGTGATAAAGTAGAGCAGCTAATACCCCGCATTGACTCGGGACACAAACACAGAGGCCATGCATTTTTTTTAAAGTCCAGTCGTGAGGGCTAAACGGCTGTGAGGGAAAACTCTCGCAGGTCAGGGCGACTTGACAAGGTTTGATTAATCGCTGTGGGAAACCTGGTCGAGAACAAGAGTGACTAATGACCCGTGTATGGCTGTTGATTTAATCAATCAAGGAAAAGGCTCTAACCTTGCCAATACTTGGGAGAAACACAGGCACACTACAACACACTGTCACTTATTCCTAGCAGCAGGAGAAGCCCTGAACATATTGTGTGTGATATGAAGTGCTGTACTTGAACCACAGGGAATTTGTTCCACAAGTTGCGGTTTTTAACAGAAAATCAACCTGTGTCCACAACTTCAAAACACATGATTAACTGTTCCTTACATGCAAATATGACATTTGAAGGTTAGAGAAAAAAGCAGTATGAGAGAACATCAACCTCCGTATAAAAGTTGAGATGAGCGCATTTTCTCTGCAGTCTATTAGTACTTGGAATTTTAAAAAGCTGCGAGGCATTTTCTGCTGCCATTATCGACTTTGCCGCAGTGACAATGAGAACTAAGTGCAGCTCTGGAGGCGTGCTTTTATGTCTGTAGCCTACTGCCACAATATACAACACATTAAATGATGAAATGCAGAGAAGCCCAAACTGTTTAATGACTTAGTATCGAGATCAGCAATGCATTATTTAGTAAGTTAACTGCTGAGATTTGGGGCTTTTAAAATCTCATTTTGTGTCCTCGGCTGCTTTGAAAATTGAACATTTTAAAAAGCTCAAGCATCAACAACAACACTGCCAATTACAGCCTGGCCTCCTTACATGAAGTAACGCCTAAAACAGAACTATATTGTATTTTCTTATATATTTTCCTTTCACTAGTGTCCTTAGCTACTGTTTGAACATGCAAACTAATAATTAGACTTTAAGAAAATGAAGGTAATATCAGATCACTGCACCTGCTGTGTAAACACTTTAACCAGGTTAGCTCATTAAAACTAAGACAGACATCAGAGTAATATAGCCAATTAAGAATTTAATTACTTATCAATATTTCAAATTACTGTGGCATGTAATGCGTCTGATTTGTTGGCCTGTTGGTTGTGTGCATGCCACACATAGCAGGTGAGGTCACAGACTAAACAAGCTGCACAGCAGGGTGCAGTGTTCCTCGCAGCGGGAGAGATATATACGATTTCATTACCTATAAGAATGAAGACCTTTGGTGCAATAAGATGTTCCCTGTAGGCTCTCTCTCACATCTTTGTTCACACATTACAAGTCAGTGAACTAATAATAGTGTTAGGAGGCTAACTGAAACTGAAAGAAATAAAACTGGCTTGCTAACACAAGGCCTGGTTAGAGTGAAGAATAAAACCATTAAGGTATTAGTTAGTAGTTACATCACACTCATTATTTACTTATAGCCTGATGCTCTGGTCGAGTCTCTCAGTCAACATGCACAATACCAAGACCCTGAAAATGGGGCAGCTAATTCGCACTCAGCCCTCATTAAATCTATCATTTATAATTGTGACATGACAGAATGTCTTTAGTGATGAAGGTGAATGGGATAGACCCAATACATGTGACCTGACCCCCCAACCCAATATTGTTTGATGACAAATGTTGTCACAGCTACTGCATAGGAACTTCCTGTTTACATAGCTGTGGCTCTTGAAACAAGCTAATTGGTAAATAACTTTACCCACAAACCTACTAATGGATTTACAATTAACTAGTACAACCCAATCCTGCTGAAATGGTGACACTGTAAACCATGTCAACACACTGAATGTGATATCCATCCTTTTATATTACTTGTGCAAAGAAACTGTCAACGGGTAAATAATAAATCCTTGAGCTTGGTAGGAATGTTATTGAACAAAATCCGTTGATACCCAGAGGGAACATCTCGTGATTTCAAACATAAACACACTTATACTTGCACAAATGGATGCACTGCTCTACCAGGGAAAATAATATACTTCAACATACCAAGTGGAAGCAGATACCTTGGCCCACATTAAATAAGATCATCTGCGCTGGGTTGTATGCGATGCCGTTGCCTATAACTCTCAGAGGGTAATTGTACATGATTCGCTGATGGGTTCCAGGCTTGAGGCAATAAAGCATGCATTCAATAAATACTCAGACGTGAAGTAGGTTTTATATTTTATTCCAAAACCTTCAAAATAAGTTTCAAGTTCAAGAAAGTAGAATAAGCTTAGACACAATGCAAAGCATCATATACAGACGGATAAAATACATTTTATATATTGCAGACAAGCCATGGTGGGTCTTACATATGTACAGTATGTATGTAAACTTTTATGTACAATCTTTTTTACATATACAAAAAGCCTTGTTTCTATTTTTCTTTGTATATATTTATATATATATATTTATATATAGAGATTTTTCTTATACTCCCCACTAGCATTTGTACTACAATAATGAAAAAGAAAAACATTTACATATATGTCAATCCATTTTTTTTTTTTATATTACAAATGTATTTCCATAAAAATATATCTCTGTACAAAAAAAGTTTTTTATTCGTTAACATATTCTCTTTTCTTAGAGACACTTTTGCTCTTTAGTTGCTCTCCGTAGTGACACTCAGTCTGCTTAAGTCCATGTTTGTCCATTTCTTTACAGGTAACCCTTTTGGTGTACCGCAAGACATAGACGCGGAGTCTCTGCCTTTTACTGTTTTGTTGGCATTCAAGAGCCTTGTTGATCTCACCTAGGCGACAAAGGTGGTTGTTAGTTTTAATCTCAGAGACTAGTTGAGAGATGTGCTGGGCTGGCATGAATAGTGTTAGGGAAAAGAGGAAATAAACATGGACCTTGTTTTGAATTTTTACTGTGAGAAAAATACAGGAATTTAAAGTCTCCAGTAATAAAAAGTAGCTTTCTGTAAATATGTTTGCGATATTATACTCTAGATAAATTGGACACTCTGTTTTATTTCCAAGGATGAAACACTGTGAAAAAGCAGATTTTCTTGCAAGGAGAGAAGATGCTGTGGGATTTGCAGATATTGAAAACAGTATAGTGAGATAAATTCTGAAGAGAAATGAAATATACATTCAGTAGTTTTCCAGTAAGTCCCAGATCTGACCACCAACCACAAGTCGACTGCTCTATCCATTTATAGAATACAAATCAGCTAAGTTCCCAAACTTTTCAAAACAAATCTCTTTACCCTCTCCCCAATGCTCGCTTCCTCTAGACACTGAAATGGAATGGGAGCTAAACAGCAGGTGGATGTGGCTTTTCTGTAGCCGTCACCACACTGCGATGACAATGGAAGATGGGAGATGACAAATGATGGCTGATGCAGAATCACTGTCACTGCATGACCGATGGATTGCTTGATTTTTTAATACACTTTTTTATACTGGTACACTGTGGCCTGTGCTGAAGAGTTTGAGCACTAGCTGCAGAAAGAAGTAGGAAGCTTTCAGTCTGTGAGAATACTCAGTGAACTCGAGGGGAACTGAAAGACCATCGCTGCTTTTTTTTCATTATAGAGGAGATGGTGAGCAGGAGAGAACTCAGAGCTGTCTCTGGCTGATAACGGAATATGAACCTTGGATGATCAGAGATTCTGTCTTAAAATATGCAAAGAGAGAACCAGGAAGTAGCCGGCCAGTATCAAAAAAGAGTTTCTTCAAACTCTTATAGCACAGCTCCATCCGGAGCTCACTGATCTTCATTTTCATAAAACGGCATCGCACTTTCTTTGAGAACTTTCTGGACTAACTCCGATGGGTTAGAAAGAAAGTATTTCTAAAAATGTAGCGCCCATTAAGTGAAAACTCCCAATTCTGCAGAATACAATTTTGAAATAGCCTTGTTGCCCATTAAAAACCTTTCTAAAGAGTGAAACCAAATGAAGCTGAATGGAATAATTTATCTTCATTTAGTAAATCGGCCTAATTTGGCTGGATTTGAATAATATTCTTTGGTAGAAAAGGTAACTCTCAAAAACACACAAAACAAAAGCACTCTTCCAAACATTTAGGCAAGCATGGAACATCCAAGACATGAACCATTACACACTGAAACACAGTACTAATGAGCTCATTGCTCTTTTAGGAAAAGCAAAAGAGGCAAAAATGGATTGTTCAGTTTCTTCTAACAAGCTCACCCAGTTTTCTTTGTAGGTATGTGACTGTGTGTGGGAGTTACATAGGTTGATATGAAACAAGGACTTAACAATGAGGAGTTCTAATTTCAATGTCTGACATAAAGTTCCTATCATCTTACCATGGGGTCATACCAAGGCACTGAAATGAATGTAAAGTGCTCTGGCCTTTTCAAACAATTTCTGAATGTCTCATGACTCAGCCCTTTCTGGTTAACAACAATCATAGTCCTATGAGCTTATGCGTCTGTATTATGTCTGTCCAAATATAGCCATTTAGACAAGTTCCATCCAGGGAGCGGCGGGCATCATGTCCTATTGCACCAGCTAATCAGACTTTTTTTATTTAATACTCAACGGAGCTTAATAAAGTGTTGGTTGAAGTACGCTAAACGTTGCCCTGGGAGGGATGAATGGAGCGGAAACACCACTTCAGAGTGTCCTTAACTGAAAATAACGGAAATGTAATGGAGCTATCGACTCAGCTGAAATATTTGGAGCAACTTCAGAATAAAAACAAATGAAATGCACAATGCAACAGCTGCATACAACGATGAGAACTGAGTTACAGTGTCTTCAAGATAATGTGAGCACAAGTGCTCCTCTTCCCGTGAAATCTCCAGGGTAATTCAATCGTTTCCTTTTCCCTCAATTCACGACCAGAGCAGGCAAGGGGCAATATTCTATCTGTACTGTCGAGATAAGCGAGAGCTTTAAAAGTCATCAAATTGTAAAAGCAATTACCGACTCACGGTGAAACTAATTGAAGGAACAATACAGTGATTGGTTTCAAAAGCCTGGATTTCTGAGGGAAATTATGTACTGTAGGTGACTTTAAAGACTCTATTGGTATAGAGGTTTTGTTTTGACTGTGTAAGCCACTTCGCATTTACATCATTTACCCCAAAGACATCCATGCAAAATGAAACAGTTCTCCTTATTTCTAACACAAATTAGATACAAAGTACATGGCAAATCAAAGAAATGTTGAATTTATAATTTTCAAACATTACATAATCCACTGTCCTGTTAGCAGTAATGGTAAGGTGCATTTTAGGATTTGATATGGGTTTGACAATGAAGCAAGGCTAATGAAAGCAAATTGCATGTAATGGGTCAATTTGCTGCCGAGAAATTTGAGCACCATTCACCCCTGCTCAGGATACACAGAAATGGAGATAGTAAGTGGCACATAGCTGGGAGCAGAGTGTTGGAAATCCAGTGGGTGTCTTCCCACCACTAATACACATTTTAGACACATTATAAGGGGTCACAAAAGCATAAATGTTTCTCTGAATTTCATTCGCCAGCAGAGGTACAGTCCTGTTGTTAGAGCTGAAGCCAGTTCCCTCTTGTGTCACACTTTCAAAACAATACTTAGGGTATATCACTCCTCAGTTGTCACAGATTTGAGGAGTGTTAGCATAAGAGGCATAAACACTTGTTTTTCCTTTCACATAAACCAATTTAATGCATGGGAGTAATTAGTATGCCAGCAACTCCCCTGCTCTCACAGCTCCGAGGAAGCCTTCTGGAACATTTCCATGATGAGCCGAGACAGAACAGGGCAACTTCACTGCTTTTCACAAAGATGGAGCTGTCAGAAGTTAACTTGGAGGAAAAGACCTGAATGTTATCCAGAGGGAACACATCACTGACTCATCCATTCTTCAGACCCAAGCGCCTTCACTTGTACACTTTCAGGGAGTGCAAACGTGGCCGTACTTTGATCTTTGTTTTCCTAAGGACAGGTTTAGGGAGCTCACACTGCAAACCGATCTCTAGAAAATACAGAACGTACCACCTTCAAGCTGCAGAAACATCCGGGATTAAAAAGGAAGGCAAAAGAGGAGAATTTGACATCATACTTTGAGCATTTACAAAAAAATGAAGTTCCATGTGTTGCTCTGTAACTTGTTTGGTGCAACAGACTTGTTCTAATGTTTGTGAAAATGAAAGGGAAAGATCACAGCGGTTGTCCATAAAAGTTTATACATCCACATTAATTAACCTAATTGCAGTTGCCATGTTTACTTAACAGGAAGCGACAGTGGCACGAAATTGGCATACAATTCTTCTGTAAATAAAATGTGGGAGTTTTGCCTCTTAACGTCTGATTTAGGTGCATTAGTTAGCGAGGAGGATTTGTCTTTATCCATGTCTTGTTCCCAGTCACCCAAAGACACACATGTAAAGTGACTGCACATGAATGAAGAGAACGTGGGTGAAAGTTTGGAGAGAGACACTGCCTTCAGTTTCTTAGAGGATCTATGTCAGCTTTTGCTCTGAGTATCCTTATGTTTTTTAGTTGTCCAAAACATCCATGTATATTGATAATCCTAAACCCAATCCTCAGATTCTTTCAAAAAGAAAAGACAATAAATATGGAAAATTGTTAGTACAATTATCTGTCGTGTTAACGGGAATCTTTGGGGCCAGAACAGACATATTTTGGGGAGATTGAAGATGCAGCCACTAGGAATGTGTGCAGAAACGAGCACACATATGCACAGCGACTCTCCACAACCTCACAGGTGCTTTTTCAGCAGCCTTTGCTACCTCTTAACCCCTGCTCTGGACACAGCTGCCTCTGCAAGCAGAATGTCATCACTGCTTCAAAAAAAGTCTAGTCTAGCTCAAAAAGTAGCGATGGCATGTGTGTGTCCAACATGGCCTTCAACACTTACTGAATTCTTAATTATCAGCCATAGACTTGAGGATGAAACATTTCAACCGCCTCTAGCAGACAGCTGGGGTAAATCAGGGCTCCCAATTACTCATCACAGAAAGCAAGCAGCATAAAAGGAGAGGAAAGCAAAGCAAATGGAAAACAGAACTGAAGCAGTCCAGACTGTCTCTCTTCGTCTCACACAGGCCGACACGGTGCGGTCCGCCTAACAGTTAACTTGCACAGAGTTCTCTGTTAGCTACAGGGTTTAGGCGGAGGGCGGTGAGAAAAGTCATCACAGCTTTGCTTCCAGCGTTTCTCCGGCCGGCTGAAGCTTTTTCCTCGAAAAATGGAAATTGATCAAGAAACCATGTAAAGTTACAAAAAGCATTTTGTCGTTGGCAATTGTTACAGTCGTTGTCTTCACATGGTTTCTTTTTTCTCTCGTCGTAAGAGCCTTTGCCACTGGAGATGTTTCTTGAATGTATTTCAGCGGATAAAAATATTCTTTGTCTTTCCCTCTGCTCGAGGAACTATGGATGTCCTCTTCTGGCAGGCAGGCGAAGATGTGGTGCACGTTTCCTCCCCTAACTGAATCATGGATGAATGCATGGATGTAAGGTATGAAGGGTTAAAAGGGTGTGAGGGGAAAAGGGCAAGGGTAGGAGAATGGAAGAGAAGGAATAAAGGATTGAAAATAAAAGAAACACAGTAAAGCAAAAAAGAAAGATGGATAAAGGGAGAAAAAAAGGTAAGGTAACCAAAAGAAAGGAGATGAATATGAGGGAGATCACAGAGAAAAAAGAAGACACAGGCATTCATGTTATTTCTCACCAGTGTTGAAAACTAAATAAAACAATACATATTCTTGCTTTTTTAATAAAGTATAAATCAATAAAACAGATTTCATTTATATGAGAGATGCAGATCAAAGGAGCGGCAGCAGTAAAAAATAAATCAAATGTTCTATCCTATTCTGGAGGGACGGTGTAAAAGTTTTAGTAACGGCTGGATTCTGAGAATCTGTATAGCTTTTGATGCCTTAGATTTGTAATTTGCCCCGAGGTGGTAACTTCATCTACTTTCAGAGAAATGTGGACCTTGAAGCTCTAAGTCCTTACTTTATGAATAAGGCCATGTGACCTTTGCTGCTCACCTCTGGAGGAAGCGGTTGCTATACAGCTGTGCACACTGTGCTGACGGTGAACTCTGTCTCGCTGGCCAGGATGTCCGTGGGCTGGATGTTGCGGTCGTACATCGGGTTCTCGAACGTAGCTCGTCCATTAGTGTTCTCATGGCCCACGTAACCATTGAAGGGGACTTTGGGTCTTCTTCTGCATCATACAGATCAATATAATAAACAATCAGTTCACATAGAAGTGGGAAATTCAACATGTCAAGTATAAATCATACATATATATCTAAATATACTGTGTGTAATCAATATGATATATTATAGACTATGGCTGCAACTAATGATCACTAGTGAAATAAAGTCTATAAAATGGTATCATCTTCAAATCTTTTTTTTTGTCTGACCCATATCAAAAACTACAAAAGACTAAAATAATTTTTTTTTAAATGTCATCCATATTGAATCAAGTGCTTCAGTATGGATTTGGCTATACTGAATTGCTGCCTGTGTCACTGTTATGAACCCTTTTGTTTTCTAGGCCGTGAGAAGTCTTTTCTCCATAATGTATGCCTCAGCAGATACAAACATCGATTTTCAACTGATGTATTTTTAAGCCTGAATGCAAAAGAGAAATCAAGCAAGAATCTTATCAGAAAACAGCGTGCTTTCCAGAGGCAAATTAAAACTTGACTTAAGATGCTTCCTTGTAAACACAAAATAAACCAAGGAAATGTTGTAAGCAGGTGGCGAGTGATGTTAACCATGGCAACAGTGTGAAGCGTACCTGTGTTTGTAGAGGTACAGAGCGAAGCCTGCAATGATCATGGCTATAAAAGGCACTAGGATGGCTGCCGCCACTGAGCTGCTGTTGGACGCAAAGTTGTATCCTGTGTTGTCTCCGCTGGGATCTGAACTCTCTGCAAGAAAAGAGATAAGACATGGAGCGCTTCAATTAGCATCACTTCAGTACAATACCATATCAGCAGTAGACAATATAATTAAATCCCATAAATAACACAATTAACAAAACAATATGAAAAGTATCCTCGTTGCCTTCTGCCAAGAACTTGAGATAAGCCCTTAAGGAAAATTAAACTGAAACAGTAACATAATAAAATAAAAATAAATATATCTATAATGCTGCCAGGAAGGCTCCACCTATGGTCCAATAGACTAAGCAGGAATAGTCCAATAGACTAAGCAGGAATAAAACAACCCTTTTTTTTTTTCATTTACCCCCTGGGAACGTCAAATTCCATCATCCTAAAAATGACTCTTAATTACTGACATCACATGCCGACAGCCATTTAGGCATTTCAAATTAATTCTCTAATTTATGTGTGTGTGTGTGTGTGTGTGTGTGTGTGTGTGTGTGTGTGTGTGTGTGTGTGTGTGTGTGTGTGTGTGTGTGTGTGTGTGTGTTACAGCAACAGTGGAGGAGTGACAGCCCACCTGTTTGCCACAGAATGCCAAAAAAGCTCAGATAAAGGACGAGTGACAAACAAGAAGGAATTCAATTAGGGGGTTCTGTGATGTTTGCCAATCAACTCCCCGCTGTAGAGCACAAGCCCACAAACAGACACTCTCACGCAAGAAAACACACGCAATGTTACACCGCCAACCAAAAAAAGAAAGATAGGACATCTTGACAAATTGAAAATAATTATTTCCAATACATCCAACCCAGCCACCATGCACTGTATTCCCATACACACTTAAACACACATACACATGACTGTCCTGGCACCAGGCCCAGTCCTCTGTATTAATAAAGAGCTGTTTGCTCAGTGTGCAGGGGCGGGGGGGGGGGGGCGGAGGCGATGGGTTTTGCACCTGCTGTTCAAGCACCTCTCTCATTATGGCAGTATTCAATATGCTCACACAACTTTCACCAATCACAAACACACTTAATCTGTGTGTAACACCAATTCCACTGGTCAATTCCATCCCAATATGATTTATTTTTGCGCGTGCACTTCTTATCACATCTTAAACTGCACTGTAACTTTTATCCATGTATTTTTTCTTTTAATGTTTATTAATATGTTTATCTTTTCTTTTTAATGACTGATTTTAAATGCCATTTTCTTAATGTCTTTCGTTTTTTGTAAAGCACTTTGAATTGCCTTGTGTTGAAAGGTGCTATATAAATAAACTTGCCTTATCTTCAGTTTGCTTTACATACAATATGGAGTCAGTCTAATCCGGCATGAGTTTTAAATGATGTGCAATTAATATGTTTTCTATGCAAAAACAAACCATGGATCTGGATCGTAACAGTGGTTGGGAGCAGTCTACTAACGTTGTGAGGTGGCAAACATCAAATACATAGAATAAAAAGGAACGCATCCATCTGTTTCCAACACTTATCTTTAAAAAAGTTCACTAAATAAAAATGCCTGGCAACATATTTAGAACTTTACATATATCTTTTTATTTTCATGTTGCCTCATTGAGTTAGCTCAGAAGAGTAGGGAGTGAGCTTTTGCTATAGCAAGGGCATCAAACTAACGTTAATAAAAGGACATGACACATAACTCCAACAGCATGCAGAACTATTGAGTCGGGGTCTAAGCAGTGGCTCTATACACACACTGTAGCGAGGAGGATAATATGGGTTGGATTTATAGGTCACAAACATGAAGTGAATATTTGTTTGGCAGCAGTCTTTTGAAAACATTTTCTATATCTACAGTAAGACAGCATATCAGAGGGCTCTGAAGGGAACTAAAGAATGACACACAGCAATTAAAGGATTCACTATATACAATCTGCAAGATGTGGCGTTACTTGATTTGGCAAAAACTCCCACGTCGATGATGCACTAGCCACAAACTCCAAGAGAAAACTTTTCTGTAGCTGTGTCATGTGGGTGAAGTGTGTTAGGAAATCATTGTCTGACAATTTATCAGGTGTTTGAACTGTTTTTGTATCGCGATGAATGCTGAGCTTAAAGCCACACTGGCCACAAGTGTTTTCACATCTACGAAGGTACATATGTTATAAAAGCACTTGCAGCAGGGCATTCAGATGCCATGCAGAGTTTAAGTGAAAGATTACAGTGATATACATCTGTAAAGGAAAAAACATGGACCTACAGTGGTCCCCAAAGAGAACGTTCGGTCACAGATGTTTCTATATCCAAGTGGACGGCTCACTCACCGAGTCTCTGGAGACCAAATTGGCCAAAGCCTTTTCCTCTGACAAATCCCTGGTACACAAAGGAGTTGGATGAAGAGATGTCGGACACCTAGGGAGAGAGGAATGGAAGACAGTCACTTTATGTGTCACATGCTGGCTTTACAAAGGAGAGTATCATTAAAGTGTCAGCAGCTGGTGCACGCAGAAATGAAATATCATGTCAAAGGAGCTGAGAGGTGCTCTTATGGCTGACATGTTATATGACGTTCTGCTCAAGAGCGCAAACAAAAACACACTCAGTGCTGGTGTGCTACTCGCACACCAGCATTTTACACAAAAGGAGTATTCCTCTCTGCGCAGCATGCTAGTACATAAACACTCGAGTCCTGTGAGGCTTGTGAAACATGCGCATAAAAACCTACACAGTGGGACACACACATTTACTATGACCTGCTTTTTTAATTATATCCGAAGTGGGTGTGCATTAGAGGTGGCTGTGGTGGGGGGATAACGGAGGGGAAGAGGAGTGGAGGGGGTCTGTCGAGTCCTGATTACCAGGCAATGATTTAACTGACATTTTAATTAAAGAGAAAACTCTTGGTGGGCCCTCCATCTCCTCAGAGTGACAAGGTTAGTGTGTATGTGTGCTCGTGCATATTTCACAATAAAAGGTGTGTGTGTTTGTGTGATGTGACATCTCTGCCGTTACATAGAGAGGTGCTGTTTTGAACCCGACCCTGGACTTGCACTTACATGTCCGTCGAGGGCCCAGTTGTCGATTTTAAACTTGTTGACAAAGATTTCCACAGGGCCTCTGATCTGGTGGACCTGCAGCAGCAGCTGAGACTCCTCCTTCTTAAACGTACCTACAAGAAGAAATGGTTAACAGTTATTTTGCAGCAAAAACCACAAATACACAAACTCAAAAGGATTATCGGACAAATCTACAAACGTACAGGGATTTAAACTAAATCTGATACATCCTCTGATCACGGCATCACCTTTCCTTATCATGTTGTGTTTCCACTAGCAGCCATTTTTAGTTATCTATGACAACAATCTTGATGCAGTCTTAAAGAAAACTCCTGTAGCAATATAAGCATCTAAATGCCATCCCAGAGGGGTAACATCTGAATACAAATGAGGGTTTGCACTCAATGAACTATGGAGAGTAAATATAAAAATAATAAAATATGACCTATTCCTCTTGTTTATTAGCTGGCTTACCGATGTGATTTATGTTTCTGGACAAGAATGAGGCGATTCTATCGATAATAGTATCTGGGAAATTTGAAGGTGAATAATCGATTATTATTCGCCAGAGCTGCCGAATAATCGATTTTGATCATGGTCAGTTTCTGGCAACCCTACTTGACAGTGATTTCTGCTTTTGGAGTACCAACCAGACAGTTTGAGTTCCACTCCGCTGTGGTCGATGAGCGTCCCGTTAACCCGGTTGCTGAAGGGCTCAAAGGCAGTGATGCTGAGCATAGCTGGCTGCTTCTTCCCCAGGTACTCATAGGAGCCCCTCCAGAGAGAGTTCTTAGCGAAAACCCCAACAGGGACTAAAAGAGACAACAGGTGGAGATGGAGGTGGCAAAGAAAATGATATTTTAGCGAACAAAAAAGTCCTTGGTGCCAGGTGACTTCAGTGGTTTGTTTACCTTTAGGCTTAACAGAGTCAGTGAACAAAGATAATAGGGTAAGTTAGCACTGGTTTAGAGTGAATCCTAACACTTACTGTAATTTAAATCAAAGTATAGAAAAAATGAACTAGTTTTGATGATCATCCCCCATCTACTTAACAGAAGTCAAATCTACAACAGTGTCCCACAAAGTAACAAAGACAAACTAATTATAGACACAATTTGAAACAAATAAAAGTTCAAGCTTGTGAAAAAAGGTTTGAAGCTTAAGTCTTACCTGGTAACTTTGAGGGTGGGTCCTGCACTGTCACTGGGCTGTTACCACTTGAGCGATTATCAGCTGAAGAGCACAACAAAACAGAGTTAACTCAAAAACGTATTAACAAGTTTATCCTGAAAGATAGACATTTTTTCTTTTTAGCAGCCCTATGATAATTGAGGTGGGAGGATGTCACTATCAGCACTTTCTGTCCGGCTCCATGACTAATAACGATGCGGTGGACAGAGTGAGGCCTGCCTGCGACAGGACTTGACTGGAGCATCAAAGAGCAGCCCGGGTGGTCCTTGTGGGGCTTCGTCTGAGGCAGAGGCACAGTTTCACAGCTTCGAGGGGAAGCACTTTAATAATGCCTTACTGCTCACACGGGGCCACAGGACTGCACCGCAGTAGTAAACAGACACCCACGCAGACAAACACAGCGAAGAGGGTTTTCATGCAACTACAAACAAAGACAGGTATACTGATGGTGGTTTATGAGCATAAACATCACCTTGGATGAATGCAAACAGACACAAACACCATCCCTCTGTTGTGTACTTTATCACCTGCCACTCTTTTGAGCTTCCCCTCCATCACTACACCCATAGGCGCTGTTAAAATCCTGCATGCGGTAAGGCCAGTTCACTTTCTTTCCTTCAGTCTTAAGGGCACTGTCTTCAAAAAGACCCATCACCCTCTATATTTCAGCAACGGCTCGACACAGGATCCATCGTATGGAAGCCCCCCTTGAGTACGTCTTTCTCTTTAAGCTATAACCTCGATAATTGTGGGTCGATGACTATTTTTTTCCTATATGTATTTAGGCTAATGCTTGGGGGTGTCTTAATGGCAGTCTATTTGTCTGCGAGATCTTGTTAACGATGCCTCGCCATTTATAGGAGGTACTTCTGCTAACCTAATCAATGGGATGCATTGGCCTAATCAGGTTCTTCACCCTTGTTAATGTTTCAAAGTGTGTGTCTGAGTCTGTGTGTATGTGTGTGTGCAATTCCATGCTCTGCCATTTTGTGATAGATGGGCCATCCTGCCCTGGCATGTGTCTGAGAATAAGCAAGTGTTAACACAGCTATTTATCAACATTAGCTCAATCCCCAATTTCCCACCATGAGTCACCGCTGAAGTCTGCACAGTACGGACCCAAGTGGTTTCGATGGAGACTGCTAATGGACACGGCACAATACAAATGTGGGATGAAGTGTTTATTACATCTGTGTGGGACAGTCTGTCGTCTTATAAGGTCCTGTGAATGTATCTATGATTGCTTTGTGTAGAAATTGGTGCATGTGTTTGCATATTTAATATCATCTCCCTGTTTCCTTAGGGATGTAATGTATACATGTGTATACCTTCACAGAGAGGCTGTTTCCCTGTCCAGCTCCCATCGGACCTGCAGGTCCTATGCTCTGATCCTCCGGCCAAGTAGAAACCCGGCTGACATGTATAGATCAGCGTGTAGCCAAGGGACGGCAGCTCGATGGCTCTCACATCAGACTGGCTCGACATCTCCGGCTGGCTGCAGTGGTGGGCTGCAGAAAAGAAGGGAGAGAAGGATTAAAGGGACAGAAGAAGAAGAAGAGATCAAGGAACAGGTTGGGACAAGCAGATGAAAGGTAGAGGGATAAGAGGAGCAACAGATAAGAAAGAAAAAGAGAAAGTGAAATGAAAAGTGGAGGTTTCATGTCAAGGACAGATATATGGGAAATGAAAGGCCTTATAATTATAGTTATGCAAACTCATGTTTTTTTTAAATATAGGCAGACTGTGTACTTACCAATGCACTCTGGTTGATAACCACTCCAAGTGAGGATGGGCAGACAAGTGCGAGAGATGGAGCCCTGCAGTAAGTAGCCCTTTCTGCAGCTGAAGAACAGAATGCTGCCGATCTGGAAGAGGACACACGTGAGCATGTGAAACCAGACCAGGAACAGAACAAGTGTATTATGCATAACAGCAAGAGGATTGTACAGAAAGAAGAGGCAGTGTATTTGATTAGTGAAATACATTTTTGGGGGGTTTGCTAGTCCAAACATTTGATAAGAATATGTTATTACCATTTTATATTCATATATGTGGTATGATTTGCTTTTTCTCTGTGTCATGTTAGTTTTTAGTTGTGGACTTTTGATTAAAAAACTAAACATTTCAACAAATTGTTATATTTTAAATGTCGTACATTAACAATGGACTCTTGGTTAATTTTCAATAAGATTTAGCAGATTTACTATAATGAATACAAGTTGCTGCCATACATCTGTACACGATAAAAGGACATCCAAGTCATTCTGATCTGCCACTGACTGTGTCACAGTTTGAATATGAAAATTAAAAAGATAGTTTTCTCCTAGCAGTGATACTGAGCTAGCCCTTTATTCAACATTAAGGTCCACAATGTGGCAAATAAAAGGTACAGAATAAAATACAAATATATAAACAAAAAGTTCATTATTTTTAAAAGTAGCAAATGAATGTTCATGCTTATATAAAAATCTCATAATGATTTTTCTGTTCAATACATGTATTCAATTCGGTATGAACACATTGTTCATACCTGGTAGCCTTGAGAGTTGTTCTGATTTCCAAAGAGAGGCGAGCCGGGGTCTCCACAGGTAGTGTGAGTGGGATCTGGAACACACAAACAGCAATTCTGATGTAACTCAAATCAAAGGAAGAAGTATTTGCTTTACACAATGCATCCACTACAAACACATATATAGCTGAATTAGCTAAGTACAGCATGGGAATTGTTCGTTTCACACACTGTATCTGTATGAAATACTGAGTGTAGCAGTGAAGGACAACCATGCACTCATACACATGCATTCGTTCTTAGTAAACACTCACATAGATAATTCCTAGAAAGTATTTTATTGAACTGAACACTTTATCCGCGCTCAGACCAGCCAATAGCACAATGCTAAACTGTCAGCCGTTATCAGACCAAACAAATGTTGGGCCTGAATGTTTTATTTACTGCAGCCTACAGTGGGTAAGATACCGGCAATAGGCCAGGGAGAAAATTACCTTTCCTTCCGTGAGTTCAATGTTAAACTAACTCAAGAAGGAATGGAACGTTTGTCACTTACAAGAGGATTGTTTTAGCCATTGTATAATCTAAAGGTGGAACAAAAAGCCACAAGAGACCTTACGAGTACTTTTATAGCAACTAAAAGTGTTGTAAGATTCATATTATCTTAAATTGATTACATAACCACTACATCTTAGTTGACCTCTCACATGACAGGCACTATGGTGAAAGGCTAAACACACCATAATTAACTTATGTTAAATGTTCTGAGGTCAAATGTTGTCATCAGCACACATTTTCCAAGACTTGAAATACCACAATGATCCAAAGGGCTGAAACAACACTTCACTGGAAATGTGTTTCTGACTAGAGAGTGTGATTTCCTTGAGTGCTTCTTACTACAGCTTCCAAGTGTATAACTTGTAAGTCATCGGTAGTGCTCTTCTATTTTTAAGAAGGTTTATTGCTTGGGGGATGTTTACTGCAGCAGCAAAACAATATTTTGTGATGACAAAGGCAAAATAAAGTTTGATACTGCCAGTTACATAAAGATGTTTTGAAAGTTCTGCTTACATATAAGTCACAAAAGGTGGCACAATTGTCCTCATGCATGGGTCACAAGTGCAGCGTTGGCCTCAATAATTGACCTCACATTACAAATGAGCGAATTTGGTAAAATGTGCTCCTGGTGCAGTCTTGCAATGCCAGAACTACAGTTTCTCCACAATATGTCTACATCCAAGAGTATTCTGAAACAGGTGGAGTAAACCTTCTCTGTTGGGTTAATTCATTACACAGATCAGAATGGGAAAGAACAGAATCGATATAGCGTGTTAGCTGGTTTAAATGGCTTTTGTATGCATTAGTACTTGATTGTGAAAGGCAATCAGGACAACAAGGGAGAACATAAGGAGGCAGAACACAAGCCAGCCAATGAGAGGCTTCTCTCTTATATAAAAGTAAAGGCATATATTGCTTTATGTTCTGTGCTTTGGTTATAGAACAAGGCCCCAGGCCATGCACACTGTTGCCAACAACCACCGTAGCCCTGCCTGTTAGTCATGACTTTGATTTGTACATCAAAGTGCTGTGTTCCATCATTAACAACATGTCAGACCACACCTTAAAGGAGCACCATCATGCTCATGTTCAGGTTCATGTGTGTATTTATTTAGTGTCTCTACTGTGACATGTCTGCATGCTTTAATGTTCAGAAAGCTCTTTATTTTTCTCATTGTGCCTGTGCTGCGGCACCTCTTTTCACCCTCTGTCTGAAACCAGAGCCCAGTCTGCTCTGATTGGTTAGCTGGCTTGCTCTGTTGTGATTGGTCAATGTCTTAGTGTGTTGGAGCAATAGCCAATAGAAGCGCAAGTGTCATTATGTCACGCAAGTAAACAAAGGAGTCCAATCGAAGGGATTTCAGGCAGGCAAAGGTTAAAATCCCAACGTTCCCTACAGGGGGGAGTTTCTCTCTTGTAGGGAACTTTGGGATTTTAACCTTTGCAGACCATTTACATGTACAAAGGAAAACCCCCAAAAAGCACAATAGGACCTCTTATAATAAAAAAAAACAACAAGTAGGAGGCTGTAGCTGAGTGCGTTAGTGCACTGATCTTTAGGTCAGGCGGGCACAGGTTCAATCCCCACTGCAGTCAGCATACCGTTGTGTCCCTGGGCAAGACACTTCACCCCAAGTTGCTCCTGTGGCGATGTCCACAGAGTGCATCTAAGTCACTTTGGATAAAAGTGTCTAACAAGTGACATGTTATGGTAATGGTAAAGTAGCTTACCTATGCAAGAGGGTTGTGTGCCACTCCAGGTGCCGTCATACTGACAATATCTTCTGGTGGAGCCCACAAGGACGAGGGGAGGGGAGCAGGCGAAGGAGACAGAGGAGAGGTAGGTGAATCCTCGGTCCTCCCTCTTCCCTTCGGCTGGCATCCCCGGGTCGCCACAGAACACAGCTGCAAAGATAAAGAAGGAGGGAACATGGGAAATGAGAGAGGACCTAGTAACCATGTTGCTTTTAAATCCAATATCTTCCAAGGGGTTGAAATGTCACACATAGGACATGCATTATGGACATGCTTGGGTAAAGGACAAGCCAAAGACACATCAATTATCGGTATAATATAATTGGGTGTTGCACTGTGGTGCCACTTACGGAAGCATTGGGGTTTCTCTCCACTCCAGTTGCCGTTGCCCTGGCAGGTTAACACAGTGGGCAGGGACAGCTGGTAACCTTGGTTGCAGGAGTAGCTGATGCTAGAGCCCCAGATGAAGTCTGTACCGACAACCTGTCCGTTAGGGATGATCGGTGCTGGACCACATACGATCGCTGCAAGGAGACAAAGAGACATTGCAGGACTTCATGGATTCTGTATACTGGTTTGAATGATGTGATGCTTTTTAGACCACGTATAAGTACAAGATTAATTTGTTCTAGCCTTCTATAATTACTCGTGTACTTTCTCATCTCAATCTAGCCGTACATGTCATTGCTTTTTTCAGATGCAGGTGCAGTAAAATAACATTTAAATGGGTGTTTTGCAGTTTTTATTTTATTTTACAAAGATTTTAATGTATTGTAAAATTATTTGGTTATTCAATATTTCAACATATCATTTAGATAACGCTTGGTCATAACTGTAACCAACGCTGTTTCTTCTCTCTTTTAGTTAAGAGAGACATTTTTGGCACAGATATGAATACAGGTATACCTAGAGATGTTGGCACTACATCACTGTATTGTCATTTACATAATTCTACACAACTCTACCTTTACAGAGAGGTTTGGTGCCATTCCAGGTGCGGTCCTTGGTGCACTTCAGAGTCGAGGCTCTGTCAGCGTCCATGGTGAAGCCAGGTGTACACTGGTAACTCACTGTGTTGTTGTATGTAAAATCATTGCCCGACCTCACCCCGTTGGCTGGCACTCCAGGGTCACCACAGTGTATTACTGCAGAAACATAACAGGATACAGAAGTATAATCAAATGAAAGCAGACAGACATTGTGGTTTGTTTAGGTGAATGAAAAATACATTCAAAAGAAAAGTCAGTTTGCTTTTTTACTCTGAGCTAAAGTATCTGATGATTTAGTTTCCCATTGGATTGTGCGATGTAAAGAACAAGATCGTTATTAAACAGTTAGATTGAAATACCAGCAAGTAAACAAACTATTTAAAGTGGCTCACTGGATGGAGCTCAGAGTTAATGAACTGTTTTATTACATAGGCAGTTTAACTCACACACAAAACTTAACAATCTAAAAAAAAAAAAAGTTCACATGTCTTTACAGGTAATTAGCACTTTTGGATAATATGTGTATTATTTTGATATGCTTACAAATATGACTTACGATGCATCTCTGCTTCAAATGATATCCCTGACAGTATGACTTAATCTTTTGTATGAAGGATGAGTGCACTTTGATTTCCCCCAGTTTAGAGCTTTTAGGGTACAGAGAGACTAACTCTTTGATGGGTATCCCTCTACTGTGGCTCCCTTAAGCATAAAAACAAACCACATTCTCCTTGATTCTATTTTAATATCCTGCGGGGAAAACAGTGTGATTGAGGAACAACAGAGAGAATTCCACTGTGTGACTCAGCAGCTTCATAGCCGTGTATATGACTAAGATAGAAAATCCAGGGCACAGAAGGACAACTTGTGCTATGTTGCAGTGGGACAACAAGGAATTATTAAATGCATATGACCAAGATTCCTAGAAGAATCCCCAGCAGGGTGAGCAAACCGGGCCTTTTTGAGGTGTATCATCTCCCCTTCACTGAGTAAGCACTTAGAGATTTCCCACCGGGCTGGTAGAACTGAGTCGCCTGGAGCCATAATGCCTTTCTAGGACTGTGTATCCTGTAACAATACCTGCAGGGCTGAGATACAGTGAGATGATTTCCCCCTTTTGTATAACTATGTTGTTATACTTGCTAGAAAAATGCCACTCACTGCTTTGGAACATGACATTATAGGATTCAAATGTTTTTTAACCCTTATGCATCACTTTTTTTTGGGCACATTTTTGGCTTTTTAATGTTTTAATATATATAGATGTGTTAATGCCTTATGCACACATCTTCTCACAATAATATGATTTACTCTACTTTTTCACAACTTTGTTAGATCCAATTCAGCTCCCATAATAAGTCTGTAAGAAACGTTGTAGCCGACATAGCGAGTGTTTCTCAATGTCAAGGAAGGATGCTCCAGAGCCACTATTTCAAGGATGCTACGCCATCGAGTCCCGCCGAAGGACTGTTCCAATGTCCAGGCTCCTTGGAATTATACCGAGCCCGACGTCCTTCGTAGCGAGACATTTCGAGGCTGCACATCCTCCGCGGTCTTAAAATCCCCACAATGCTTTGCGCACGGACCCATTTCCCAAAATCTGTGGCGGAAAATGTAAGGCGGGGCCTCTCATATGACGCACACCTGCACACTTGCTCGCCTGTTCCACTCTTTGTTTTCCGAATGCCAGGAAGGATTCTTGCCTAGCTTCTGAAGGAACTGACTCGGAAGACATGTCCTACCAAGGAAGCGTCCTCGACATTGAGAAACACCCACAGACTAGAGAACATAGAACCTCATAGAAACCCAATAAAACCACAGTTTCATGTGAACCCAATGTAAATAAAGCAATACAATTCAGAAAATGTATAAATATATATTATAATTATAAGCATGACTTAATTTGCTAAAAATATTTAACTCAGTGAAACATTTTGGTTTATATTTGAAATGGATACACAAGCTACAGTAAGCTAAATAGAGCAAGGCAGCTACCCAAATAGCACTTGTTGTAGCCCCCTCATGTCAGGTAATGAGGTAAATCCTCTTTTAGCATACAGTTTGAATCAGATCAGAAGAAATAATTTAGCCCAGAGTGGGCATATTCACATATCCTATCCTCACTAAAGGTGCTCTACCAATGTGCGACAACATGTAGCCTTTCACTCCTGGATGGATTACAGTGCATTGAAATCCATAATGGTGGTGCTTAGGGTTTATCCTCCCCATTCAGAAGAAACTGCTTCTCTTGGTGACCTCTATTTGCCGGGGTCTCTCCGCTCTGTACAGCACCTGAGTGCCTTTTGTGAAACAAGTGGATAAAGTCTGTCAGTCAAGCCTGTGCCAGCGGACTGGAACAGGCCTCAAACCAATTTCTCTCACTGAGCCAGAGATCCGCATGAGTAATGAGTTACACAAAAGAAACTAGAATTTCTTTCATATTTTCTTGCATCATGGTACCTTTACTACCTGTACTCACATCTTATAAGAGGTCTAGATATGTATCCTACTGATTTCACAATCATTCATCACATTTAAAACTAGAGTTATAGTACAAATGAACATGAGAGGCCATCAGTTGGACAACTCACACCTGTTATAAGAAAAGGAAACAGAAAAGCCTCCTCAACTGGAGCATGAACTTATATGTCCATGAGGGGAAAATCTAAGCGTTCCAACTATACAAAGATACACTTTGGTTCTTTCTCTGGAGGAGCCGTTAATTACCGGAGCACTCGGGCGTGTTGCCGGTCCAGGTCGCGTTAACGGTGCAGTGTCTGCTGAGCAGGCCGGTGGAGTAGTAGCCCTCCCTGCAGGAGTAGGTAATGGATCTGGAAAAGGTTAGGCCATCGTGGATCAGGATCTGAGCATTCCTTGGAGTTCCCGGGTTTCCACAGGACATCACTGAAGACAAAAGAGAAAACAAGAGGGAAGCAGAGTATTAGGTATTATTAAGTCACAGTAGTTGTGTGTGGTGTGTTTTTTTGGAGTGTTGGAAAATATCAGTTGCAGACTTCATCTGAATTTTTTTTGGAAAAAGTAAGACCAACAGATAAAATACACTTCTCATTTGACTCAATGTTTCCATTCACTAATCTCTCTATCAACCTGTCCACCTACCAACCTTTGATCATATTTGAAAAGAGGTATGCTCATAAGCCAACGAAATTAATAGCTATTTACCAGTGAAAGTATTCTTTAAACTCTTTAAGCGATTACCGGAAGCCAATTAACCTCCAACTCAAATATTTCATAAGGATTTATAAAGGTTTATTTCTCCAAAAAGACCCTGTACCAATTGATTAACACTTTACCTGGTTCTGTGTATGTAGTTCAATAAAACGTATACTGTACATTTGACCAAATGGAGCTTGGTTTTCTAATACATTCCTTTTTCAATCTTTTATGTGTGTGCTATGCGTTCCTAACACGGTTGGTTTTCCCTTAACTTATATTCTTCATGGACACACTCTACCGCCACCCCGTCTTCCCCTGCGTCCTACTCCATAAGTAGCTCTGCTTTGATGGGCACATCCTTTGCTCACTAAGTCCCCTGGTGTCTATCCAGCCACCAGCGAGGGTTCTGTTCATTACAGTTTCCAGCTTGCCCCGGGCCCTCAGAGCCTCGTGGGCTTCACCCTCCCGTAATGACCAGATGTGGCCTGGCCCTTGAAGTCTGTGCCAACCGAGAACAGGTGGGGAACCTCGGCTCATCGGCAAACCACACAACAGAGAGGGAGTAAGGCAGCGTGATGCATGGGAGAGTTTGTGGTACTTTGTGGTAGAGGTTGTGTGTGTTTGGAGTGTAAGCAAGGGCAATATAACTGCAGATAAACTGGCCCTCTTGAAGGTGGAATACAGCAAGATTATCGATGTTTTTTTTAATATGTTATTGCTGCTAGGAGATGAGTTAAAATGTTGGAAATTGCTGCTGCATGAAAGATGTTTGACAGTAGAAAGATAATTGCACCCTTATAGTTATTTCACTGTTCGTAATGTCTGTCCTTTCTCTGCAATAATAATGGATCTTATCAGCCCTTTAGACCAATACCGATCAGACGCACACTCCCTACACATTTACAGAATTGTCTTCTTCAGCAGTCAACAGCAGACTGGAGGCGATGTTACAAACGGGGAAAAAAAGGAAAAGAAGAACCTTCTGTAGTTTGATCAAAACCTTCACTGTTATTTCACACATCCTCTTTTGCTCAATCACTGTTTTACATTTTTGCAAATTCACACATGCAAATGAGCAATTTGCCTTTCATTACATTTTCAAAGGCATAAGCTAATTACACAATCAGGGACTACATTATTAGCCACAATATAAGGCTTGAAATATGCAATTCACTGATAGGATTTGTTGAGATCAGCTAGCTCTGAAAATACACTAACATTTAGAGATGATGATATCAATACTTATCAGCAAAACATCTGGCTACAATGAAAACATGTTGGCCTATATTCATCCTAATATTATTATTTAAAACAATTCCAGTGGAGGAATGAAAGGATACACAAAGACACTAGAGACTGACATGTATACAAGTTACTGAATGGAAATGAGAGGCAGATGTTGTATTCATGCCAATGGTTCATTAGAAGTTCAGTGAACTTTAGTTATTCTTTAGTTACTGCAAAATCATAACTCAACAGCTGGCATCTTTAGGCGTTACTAAAATGTTCAGACATTGTGTTCATTCATTTTCATTTCATTTCAAACCTTTATTTAACCAGATTGGTCCCATTGAGATCATAGATCTCTTTTTCAAGGGAGACCTGCAGCATATAGGTTCCACATGAAACATAAAACAATAAAGGACATTATACATTATATTTACAGGATACATTTACATAGTTATAGACATTTACAAGTGGCAATAGTATCAACGAGCATTTCATTTAGCCTAGCTTTAAAAACATGTAGAGGAATGAGATTGCTCAGTTTCAATTCTTGCTGAAGACTGCTCCTAAGAAGTCTTCCATCCATTCATTATTCAACAGTTATCCAGGTTTAGGTTCCAGTATTGGCAATTTAATCAGTAGTTCATACATGACTTTGCCCATGTATGTCCTCCAGCTCCTCTTAAGGAATCCCAAGGCGTTCCCAGGCCATATGGGATATGTAATCTCTCCAAAGTCTTCTGGGTCTGCTCTGGAGTCTCGAGTTGGACGTGACCAGAATACTTTCACAGTACATGGGAGAGGGCATGATGATCAACTGAATGCAGCTGTTTTACTCAAAGCTTTTTTCCTTGATAGCAAGCATGCTTAACCTTTGCCTTAAAGGTTGTACTCCAACACTAAATAGGAATGTCCTTGACTTACCACCACGTGTGCGTACATATCCTGCTTAGGTTTGGTAAGGACTTAGAGCCAGGAGCACAGATCTCAGTACTTAATATTCCCACAGCTACCAAGAAAAGGAAACACATGCAGATTATAGGCAGAACTCCCATGAGCGCTTCAGTATCAATGTGAGGATAAAGAGGTGAGGAGGCAAGGTTGAAACCCATACTCATTATCCTGAAACCAGTCCCGGCTCTCCTAGCATAATAGCATAACATGTTTTGAACCCTGATTCTGAAACTTGGATCCACCATCCCCTTCTACCAGTCAATGTATGACATAGAAGAAATACAAATACAACACACACGGTAACCATATATTCTCACCATGACACTCAGGTTGGGTGCCGAGCCAGGTCCCATTGGTCAGGCAAGTCCTCTCTGGTGAGCCTTTCAGCAGATAGCCGGGCTCACAGCTGAAGCGGACAGCACTGCCCACCGTGAAGTCTTCCCCCAGACGGATACCGTGCACGGGAGTGCCCGGATCTCCGCACAGCCCCGCAGAATCGCCTGGAAAATAATCCGACAATAAATGCAAATGTAATCATGAGGCAAAAACATTGCTCACATGTAGATTATATATGTACTTCCTACAGCATTGCAGAAAGGGTTGTTTCTTTTCTTTTTAAAACATAATATTGATATTTTAAACCCTTCAAACGGTATAATACTGCTGCCCTTCCTAATTTAAAAAGTACTAGTGAACTTCTCTTTAATAGTGCATAGATACAAATGTCAGGCTTTACAAAAACACTGGTTGTGTTTAATACCTGTTTTGAAAACACTACCTATCCCTGAAACATATGTGAAAGTCAGTAAACTGTCAGCATGCTATTTTATTGTCAGCTCGCAGCTCTCTTTGTGCTCTCGTTTGTGTGTCACTGTCTGTGTTTGTCTCCTCCTTCGCGTCAAAAGGAGCCAGTTGAGGTGGTTCGGGCACCTAGTAAGGATGCCACCTGGGCGCCTCCCTGGAGGTGTTTCAGGCACGTCCAGCTGGGAAGAGACCGAGGGGTAGACCGAGGACCAGGTGGAGGGATTATATCTCTTCGCTGGCCTGGGAGCGCCTTGGGATCCTCCAGTCAGAGCTGGTTGATGTCGCCAGGGAAAGGAAAGTTTGGGGCTCTCTGCTGGAACTGCTACCTCCGCGACCCGACCACGGATAAGCGGGAGAAGATGGATGGATGGATGTCTGTCTTTGTGTATGTTTCTTTTTGAATGTGTTTGTATTTGCATGTGTACAGTATATACCCCCATGGTTTTTCTCATGTGAACTAGGCTATCTGAAGCGATTCACTGCAAGGAGAGAGAGTATGGGGGCCGATGTCTGTAAAGGGCTTCATAACCAAGCCGAGGTGGGCGTCCCTGTTCCTCAGTCTAATATGAGCAGATTAAAGCGGTTTAATAGAGGACAGTCTCTTTGTCCTTGAGGCCAATGGATCAGAGAGGCAGCTCCATCTTTGGTCCACCTACTTCGCTCATTACCTGCAAACAGCTGCCACCCAAAGTCTTTATTTGCTGAACCTGGCATTATGAGGGCATCACTGTGACTTGGTGGTGATATTACACCTGAATTAATCACGTTTTATGAGCAAGGAGCTAGCAAGAGGATGAGAAAAAGTGCTTCACCGGTACATAGTTTCAAATGAAATGTGCTTAAGATAAAGTTTGAAGGCTTTCACATAATGGGGTTATTTTTAGTTTTGTCTTTCCAAACAGCAGACGGTCAATCTGGGTGTAGTTTTCCATACCGGAGCAGTGTGGCGGAGAGCCGCTCCATTGGCCGTCCAGCTGGCACATCCGCGTTGTGTTGCCGACGACGCTCCGCTGGCCGATGCAGGTGTAGCGAATGACTGAGCCCACTGTCCGACGGTCGCCTGAGATCTGGGTGTAGGGAGGCATGCTGGGGCGGTCACACAGCACCACTGTCCAATCAGAGCAGAGAGACGAGACAGTTAACCACATGTTCAATTGATTGACTTGTTTTAGGGAAGTCATACTATTGGTTGACATTGGATTTGTGGTTGTACATTTCACAGTATCAGACTATATTTCATAAAAAAAACCTATCCAACTTAGTGGGGTAAGACTGCTAGTTATTTATCACAATGGGATTCTTTAGGTTACAAATGCAAAACAAGGCCATTAAGTGTATTATCTGAATTCAAAAAAAGGTACATGTAAAATAAGTCACTAGGATGACTAATTCTGCTTTTTGATAATCCATTTTCAAAACTTAAAAAAAAAGTTGCAGACTCGGGTGGAGTAGACGTTATCTGGGTAGTGTACACAGTTGTACCATTGTCTTCTTATACAATTTGAACCTGCTTCACTTACAACCAACCCCAGAGATACTCACATAGGCATTTTGGCAGGGAGCGGTCCCAGGTCCCGTCCCCCTGACAGGACAGGGAGCTGGTGCCCAGCAGGTAGTATCCGGGGTTACAGCGGTACGACACAGTGGTCTGGAAGCTATAGCGGTGCGGCCCGCTCGCCAGTATCTGCCTGATGCTGTTCTCCACGTGACCCGGCTCTGTGCAGTTCACAACTGGAGAGGGGGGAAGAGTTAAAAGATGCCAGATTATTAAAAACATATTGTGTTAAAAACAAATGTTTTAACCTGGAAGTAATGATTTAATGACGCTTATCTGTTAAAGGTTACAGGCAGGACGGATGAAAGGGAACGTTTCTTGTGTTTTTCAGTCGCTATAACACCCTCTTACACACAGGGAACCATTTTGAAAGCAGAGTTTTTGCTCTCTGTCCATTCCTGTCCTCATCTACCCCATCTAGCGAGCCTAATCCAAATGAAGTAGGAGGCACACTCCGGAAATAAACATTTGCTTCATTAGAACCAGTCTCCTGCTGGCCGCCGTGGTGCAGAGATGGTGATGGATGGGGAGCACACAGGAGAAGAGGCACCATGTCAGTTTAGCACCAGATGGAGAGCGTTAGGGAAGGGGAGAATGAGGGATGGATGAGGAGCAAGGGACAGAGTTAGAGAGGAAGAGGCCCTTATGGTGCAGAATGTATTAAAATTCATGACAGAATATCAGGCTACGACTGCTTCCAGCACTGATCCATCTTGAGGATCTCGGATACAAACCCAAACCTTACAATGCCAGAACAAGGCAGTGTGCAACAGTTGCTGTCTAGCCTATGCATCTGTACTATGATGCCAACACTCTTAATGGCTTCTAAAATAATATCCACGCAGCCTTTATGGACCAGTTTGCAGTTATGCTCCATGAGATTGCCTTTGCCACATCCGAAAAACAACCCATTGTATGCTAATGCACCTAAAAGCTTGCTCATTCTTATGCTCCCAAGCTGGCCAGCACAGCTTAATCACCCCCAAATACCTATTCTAATATATACCTTCCAGTGGAGCGCTGACCCGTGGTGCCATCATTTACAACTTACTGCATAATAACACCACAAAGTGTTTTTTAAGCAGCGGATCTGTTTCAGTACGAGACTTCCCAAGCTCTGAATTCAGCTTTGAATAAATGTGTGCGGGCAACATAGAATGAAAAGCGATCCAACAGTCATCTAAAACGACTGACCTCCTGGTACATTTCTGTGTGTGGCCCAGTGGGCAGACAGATCGGAAGTGAAAGGATGAAAGGAAAAGAAGAATAAAAGTGAGAGGGGGGAAAGGGCTGAGGTAATTCATCTCTGTTCCACTCAGAAGAGGAGACCCCGGTAACCCTATCCTCCTCTTGGCCTCCTGCCAGGCAGCGGCCCTATAAGTGGTGTTTCAGAGTGTGTTTTTTCTGTCCTGTGTCTCTTGCCTTTTAACGCTGAAAGACAAATAAACACACGAGTCATCCAAAGAAGGCGGTGTTGTAAGCTCTGTTGCTGTGACTCAACTTGTTGTTGATTAGGGAGGGATAGAAGACTGTCCCCTGCATTATTGATGGAGCCTATAGGATTGTAGTTAGAATCTGGACCGTGAAAATCATTAAATTTGACTGATTAAATAATTTCCCTTCCTTACCTAGTTTCCTGCCTTCTTTATCAACTACTCTCTAGCTCTTAAAGGAAAGCTGATAGTCCAGCTAAGCTAAAATGAGATGGTTGAAGCAGAATGACGGAGTACATGGAGTGCATGTCTCACCAAATATGTCTAGAATACTGTGGGTGATAAATCTGCTTGACAAAAAGATCCCTAAGCTTCTTATGTCTCCACATCACAGTGAGGATAATATGCCATAAAACTAGACCCACAAACCCCCCCCCCCCCCCCACACTCACACAGAGGCACACAAAAAGCATCTCTGAGTCATCATATGTATGGAAACAAGGCCAATGCTAATGTGATGTCACCACTCGAGCGGAGAGATTTAAGGTGTATGTCTGGGACAAAATCTCGTCTGCTTATTCATGCGGCAGCTAAATGTACTTCTCCCTCTTTTTAACAACTGGAGAATGGTTCCTGTGGGACTCGCAACCCCCCTCATCCCTTCATAAATGTCTACAAAATAAGGCCGTGTTCTTTCTCTGCTCATTTAAAACAAACTCACAAGTCAATCCGTCACTGATTCTGTCACTGCCTTGTCACATTCAGGGCCCGACCTTGCGAGCGGGCCCTTTCTGTGGCTGTCACAAAGCCCTTAGTTAGCGGGGACTTGGAGACAGACGTGGGTGCCGGTGATACATGGCTTGTCGCAAAGACACTGCCAAATTAAGAGGCTCAAGGATCCTGTGATTGTTTTTGGCTTTGTCTGCATGGTTAAGGACAAGTGTGTTTCCCTGATGGACAGGTGAGCCAGAGGGTGCCACAGGGATAACAAGGGAAAGAGGAAATAACATCACATGTAAATATGATCTGAAACCTCACTGGACCAAGTGGTTAAGAGTGTGGTAATTAAATAATCCAGTCTTCTCTTTTGCTATTCATTTCAATTCCCCTCTAATATGCATCGTTTAAACTTCTTCTCCCTCCCAGGCATCTTTGCGCTTCTTCTACACTCTCTTTATGATTGGGGTCATCTATGGTCACAGAAGATATGACCTTGCACAATACAATAAGTAATTTAATACCTACCTACAAAAATTGAGGAGAGCACAAAACCGTACCCCCCTGGACAAGTACGTATAAACGACCGCACTTAATTACAATGTTCACTGAGCATTAGCTATTCACACAGTTGATGCTTTTGGCTTATTTAGCACTAGAATCATTCACAGGGCACACACATACTGTACGTATAAACAAATGCAGGACTGGCTTCTGTTGGTGTGCTATGAGCATGCATCATGCAATTAAACCTTAACTCATACCTTTTGCTCATGGAGGTGTCATGAGAACAACAATGATTAATGGTTCTCTCATATTAGCTATTTGTAAGTTCAAATGACAAATTGCACTACTTTAACTTTCCTGAAATTGCATAATAATTTATATTTAGTGACTTCCATGTGTGATTGTTCTTTTATCATCCCATCCTATCATTAGTAGGCATGAGGTTCTACTAAAACGCATACATGCATAGACTGATTAGCTTGGGCATGTACTGGACACTTACTTTTACACCTGGGGAGGGCGTTGCTCCACTGCCCATTGGACTGGCAGCTAGATTTTACAGCCCCTTGCAGAACGTATCCGGTGTTGCAGACAAAGCGCACAGCGTCATTCAAGTTGAACTGGGCTCCTTGGGTGGATCCGAAAGTAGGGTTGCCAGGGTGACCACATGTGATGGCTGGGGAAGTCAAAGGAAACAGACAAATGAGGGTAAAAGTCATATCAAACACGAGATTAACAAGCCCTGGAATGCAATAGGCAACGCCACAACAAAAAAATCATCACTGAATGTAGATGGCGAGTAATGATCCAAACTCTAAAGCGACAGGCGCCGCTGCAGCTGCATGTCTCTAATTTTTGCCACGGGCCTCCATTAAAATAATCTTGCAAATTATATTATAGAGAAATACAGAGTGTCATTTTGTGATAATTACCCCATCTTTGAAAATGTCACGGTAAAACTTAGACACGAGGCACAGGTGGGTTTTATTATACATATATATATATATGTGATTTTAATTCAGGAGCTTGAGCAGAAGCTTCCTCTAAAAAAATATTCAATAACAGGAATTAATTGGTGATCAGTACCAGATGGCTCAGGTCTAATCACACTGAATGTGCAGTTGGTAACGGCCTGATAAGGGCATCCCTAGGTAATATATGTCTCTATTCATTATTGATCTATTAGCAACACTATTATGCTGGGAGAGAATTGGCAATTATTTTGTATCAAGATTGTTTTTTTCTTAACTAGGTGGTTGTCCTAGTATAAAATAAAAGTCTGGATTCCAACTTTATCTGAGCAGGTAGAAGCCTAAAGATATACACAATATCATCCATAGTTTGACTTATTACGAGCTGTTTTCTGTTACTTACGGACACAGACAGGAGTGTTTCCAGACCATTCGTGAGCTTGTTCACAGATTCGCACCGACACACCAATGAGACGGAATCCTGGATTACACTGGTACACAACGCTGCCTCGAAAGTTATAATTCTCCCCAATGATCTGTCCGTTCACTATGGGCTCTGGGTTGCCACAATGACCAGCTGTGGGTTAAAGAAGAGTCAAAATCAAACAAAGCTTCTGGAAGTAAATTGCAAGAATACAATCATTTCTTGGGTGTTGAAGATCTCACCTAGACACTGGACCTGTGATCCACTCCAAAGCCCATTGGACATACACTCTCGTACCCGAGAGCCCACCAAGGTATACCCTGTGTTGCAGGAGAAGATGGCGGTGGCTCCATACACAGTCAGTGTTCCAATCTTGTTGCCATTTGGTGGAGTCCCAAGGTCCCCGCAGGAGATGACTGCAATGAGAAATCAATTTGTCGAGTTACACTCCCATATGGTTTACATAATCTAGATTAAAACAAAATGTGTTTTGTTTGTAAAATGGGATCTAATTTTGTTTTAGTTAGAACATTTCTTCGTGTTTAGTTATGTTCTTTTCTTAATATCAAAGTGGGATATCGTACATTTGGGTGCAATTACTCTTTTTCTTTTCGTTCTCTATGTCGTAACTCAACACACTGTGGTAAAAAAAGACCATGGAGATTACACTTACTCTCGCAGACTGGACGTGGATCAGGGTAGTTCCAGGTGCTGTTGGCCTGGCATCGAATGACCATTTGACCCCTGTAGTAATACCCTGGGTCACATATGATCATCATTATAGTGTCATATTGGTTTTGAGTGCCATAGATTAGCCTCCATCTCCCATGTTCAACAGCAGAGTGGCCGATGTCGGGGCAGGTCACCGCTGGAAGGTCAAAGGACAAACACAAATTATTAACATAAATACTTATTTGTGTTTGGTGCGGTTACAATGTAAGACAGTAAGAGAAATACTCACAAATACATATGGGCGGGGTCTCAATGGGGCTCCACCTCCCAGATTCCTGACATGACACTGAGGTGGTGACAGGCCCTGCCAGGCGAAATCCGGGATTACACTGGTACGTGGCCGTAGCTCCTAGAGAGAAGTCCTGGCCCACAATACTGCCGTTTATCGCAGGTACTGGCATTCCACAGGACATCACTAGAAGGGAATGAGGAATGTGTTGGGAAGTAAGTCGAAACATGTGCTTTTTAGAATGAAAGTATACTAACTATTTAACTATCTTTGTATGCAGTGCAAAACTCAAAATAGGATTCCTGTATAAACACAGCGAAGGAGCATCAATTGATGTGCAGTAAACATTAGCTCGGGCTGCCATCTGCACCAGAGTAAACAATAGGCTCCAGAGAGAGCATGTGCAATTATTGTGGAAATCACACCAGGTGCAGACTTGACCAGGCATTGAATAGTTAATACTAGGGCTGTGCAATTAATCGTATTTTGATTATGGCTTGTGACGATTATGGAAACAGCATAATTGACAAAATACGATTATTTTGCTGGGTGTGCTTTCGCCCCTCCCTAAAAGCCCACTCGGCCACGTGGGAGTGACATGTGTTCAGCGCGAGCGAAGATGTCAGAACAAGAGCAGCAACTCGTTAAAAAGAAGGGTCGCGGGGAGATTCCTAGTCGATCGCGAGATGTGTCTAAAAATAGAACAACAATATTCTGTTTTATCGTTAATGTCCTGTAACATAATGTTCCCGTGCCAGAATAATGCACTTGAACGCATCAAAGCTTTGTGATTAGCCGGCGTGGCTGGTGGGTGGGCAGTGCAGTGACAGTCCGCACACACACAAGACCGCAATTATGGCAGAAGCAAAAAAGCCCAAAATATATAATTTTCACTCCGAGTGGGAGGATGATTATTTTTGTATCTATTCCAATTCAAAGTCCATCTGTCTCATCTGCAATGCGAGCGTGGCTTTATCGAAGAAGGGTAATTTAGGAGCGGCATTTCAAAACAGTGCACAAACGCTACGAGACGAAATTCCCTCCTAATTCTGCCCTACGCTCCCAAAAGGGGAGGGGCCTGAGAGGACAGCTAAATGCAGCACAGCAGTCCATTTCCACCAGGCCCAACAACAAGAGCAAGGCTGCTACCAGAGCATCTTATCGTGTCAGTCACGTTCTTGCGAAACACATGAAGTCTTTCAAAGACGGCGAAGTTATGAAAGAAGCATTCCTGGAGGCTGCCGACGCGCTTTTTGGGGACAGTAAAAATAACAGCAGCATTTCAACAGGTTTTTGATATAATAAAAACTCAAGTTAGATACCGTTATTAATCAGCTGTAAGTTTTAGTTTGTTTGAACTTATTCATTATAATTATTGTACAAATGGTATAAGAATGCAAACATTAAGATCTGTTCTGTTTAAATTGATTATAGTCTATTATCAATTCAGGTTAAGAAACTAGTGTTGCTTGCATCCTATTTTAAAGGCATTTATTTGTATACTCTAATAAAATGCAACAAAAAAAGGGTTTGATTCTATTAATGTTGTCTTTTTTATTGCACGTTGGCAGCAGATTCCTGTGTAGCTTCAGATCTGAGTTGTCTTATTAGTAAGCCTCATTTATACTTTTGTAGCAACACTATTTTTATATAATGGCAAAGAAAGGGTTCTTCAGAGTCTTTTCTTTTTTTCCTGTGTCATATGTGGCAGCACTGCCACAAGTTCCTCTTCAGAGAGGGTCTTCAGTACAGGTGGCAATATTGTCAGCTGCCTGCGCTCATCTCTGAAACCAGACCATGTAAACAGCCTGGTATTTCTTGCAAAACATCTTTAAGAGATGACATGAGCAGCCCTACCAGCATTTGCCATGGTGGCCACATTTTTTTTATTTGGTCTTAAATTGTAGTTCAACATTTATTTCCTGTTACTTCTGGACCATGACGGTTGGCCAGCCTTCAACGTTTAACTGAGTGGAATATGTTGAATATGTTTTACCAAAATGTTGGCTATATGTTAAGGAGTTTTCAGTAGGTTGTGACAGTGCACTGCAACATATTTGATTTAATTTATTTTGGTCTAATTTATTTATCATATTAATATATGTTTAGTATGGTTTTGGAAGTGCGCTCCAACACATTTATTGATCTTGTTTATTGGTAAAATATTATTTGTTTTAAAGTTCAATAAATGGTCAATGAATAATCGTCAAAATAATCGTGATATCAATTATTGACCCAAATAATCGTGATTATGATTTTTGCCATAATCGCACAGCCCTAGTTAATACTATTAATACATCGGGTCGGAAACTAGACTCTGAAAATAGATTCAATGCTTTTGTGATTCTGTATAAGAGACAATCCAGACACAGACATATAGATAATTCACTAAAATTGGAGATCAACAAGGATGGTGCAACTGCATCACAGTCTTGTCAAATCTAAAGTTACATTTTGTTACGTTAGGGGGGAAAAGCAGTTTTAAATTAAATTAGATAACTTTAAAAGCGTTGACTATATTTATGTGCATCACAGTTGTGTCAGTCCTGGTGCAAAGTCTGAAATTGATTTTGTTTCATTCCATCACTGAAAAAAGTCTGCACAGTGACAAGCAGATACCTGTGGCTATAACCCACAAGACTGACATATCAAACACCTCAGCTCAGGTAAACCAACTATCATTGATCTGATGCAATGTTATCTTCAAAGCGTTTCTGAGGATGGGTGAAGTGAGCTTCCTTGAAGCACGCCTAAGGCTGAGGGGCTGTTGGTGATGGCACTGTCAGCTGGAATCACACTGTGATCCAAAGCAAATGGAATCAGTGATAGTTTTTTTCAATCATCTTAAATCAGAACGATTTCAACTTACAAAATGAATTTGCAAGAGAAAATGTCTTCTTGAACTCAGCACATCAGTAAAGGAGAATGCTAGGAATGTTAAAATCTTGTTTTCTCTGCAGTGTTTAATTGAATCACTTTGGAGAAGTCGGACTATATACCGGATGAGCTCAGTTGAATTGATAACATTGACGAAATGTAACTTCAGTAAGAGAATTAGCAATTTACAATTATCCTGCCCATCTGATTGTACAAATGTAATTTGCCTCACCTTAATAAGGAAATATAAAACAATGGACTATATTTCTTTATCCATGTTTTTTATTAACAATCTACATCCTTCTTATCCTCTCTAATATCCTACTGCTATGATCAGTGGCGTTAAGTAAGTAGTATATAGTGAACGTTTCTCCAATACATTTATTTAATACCTTAATTACTTTGCAAATTTGGAATAATGATGCAAAATATAAACAACACTTAACTAAGACGCAAGTTACACCTGGTAACATTCACAAACTACCCTGCAGCATACAAAGTGATTCAAAGTAGCTGCATGCAGGAGTATTTCTACACTCTGGTAGCTCTACTCTTACTTTTAGTCAGATGTACTAAAACAAAGCATTTATTTTCTTCACCGCCTTAGGTCTTTTTGGGCGAGCAGAGAAAGTCTTCTGCCGTTCTTTACATCTGTGATCTTGTTTAGTCTACAGTACTGCAATACTACCTGGTACAAGTGTTTGTTAACAGCTTTAAAATCAAAACTGCTCCACCTGTTAACAATCTGCTCAAAGATTGTTGGTCAACCCTGTGAGAGACTTTATGACTCAGCATACCATAATAACCTAGAGAGGCTGTCCAGCACCATCATCTCGGACCTAAACCATGTTCTGAACAGCCAATATGAATCTAATCGGAGATACAGGGTCCCGCGATTCAATCTAGTCAGTCTGAAGCATCCTTTGCGTACCAGTCAATCCTCACAGTAAATACAGAGCTGAATCCCAGATCAAATACTAAAGGCTCTTTGAGCATGTTGTCTCTCAGTGATTGTGCTGTGTCTTGATATTTGTCTATGTTGATGTTACACATGATCATAGATGTGATCTTTAAACTGTGGGTTTTTCTCCGGAAGTGTTTCCTTGTATGATGTGAGGGTCTAAGGACAGAGGGTGTCGTTATCTCATATTGATATTCTGCACAAACTGTGCTGTTGTATTTGCTGTAAAGTGTCTTTACTGTAGGCTATTTTTTATTATATGTACAGCACTTTGGCTCGACCAAAAATCGTTTAAAAATGTGCTATATAAATAAAACTTCATTTGATTTGATTACACATGGAGCTGCTGTGATGCAAGTCAAATTTCAGACTTGATCTGAACATTAAAGTATTATCATATCGTGTCGTATGTGAGTTCTTCTTCCAACTCTGGCTATAATTGAACCCTCACCTTGGCAAAGTGGCACTGGTGCGTTCCACTGGTGGATCCCCTGAGCTGTGCGGGTGCATGTGGCACTGCTCTGTCCAATAAGCCGGAAGCCCTGGTCACAGTTGAAACGCAGGGTGCTGCCCAGCTTGGTGCCCGTCAGACTGTGCACTGTGCCGTTTACAGGGTTGTTCGGAGGGCTGCAGTAGGCAGCTATAAAAACAAACAAACAAATAGGTAGAGATATAAACACGAATACTGATAACACTGAGCGCAAAACAAGCGTAAAAACCCAATAATGATGCAAGCTGATGCACGTTGTTGTTGAGGAGGCGAAGGAATAATGCACCCCACATCTGTTTTGCATCCATCTTCTACGCTTGGCATAGTAAAGGAGGATATGTATTAATAATAATAGTGCTAGAATGCAGACTGGAGACAAGGACGATTGATTAAAGGAAAATAATGTTCTGCAAAGCATAACAGGAGTTTGTCAGCAACAGCAGAGGAGCATCATCAACGTGATGAATACATAATAACAGGAAGGAAGTATCTGTTGTTGTTTGTTGCTTAAATTGGGGGTTGCAATAACCATTCATCTGTGGATCCTAAAGAATGAAGGGTTTCTGGGGCTAACAGCCATACGATATCATTACACTTATGGCGAACAAATAAAAACAGACATTGCGAAAACATCCTGGATAATATTGTAATTTTGTGATGCAACAATTCATGGCTTTGTGACACAGGAAACAGTGCCTATTGTGTAGAGAGAACAGGATAGAAGTGGACCAAGGACACAACAAAGTGTATTATACATTACACTAGGATCACATTACATTAATATATAATAATGAAAATGTTAAACCTATAGCTCATGTTGACAGCATCTCTTTCAAGTGCATATTTTTAGCACCATGCAAACAGATACAACTCCCTTTCGGTATAAAAAAAACAATGTCAGAGCTGTTATATTTTTTCAGCACTTATGGGATGTTGCTGTCTCTCACAAATTGTTCCAAGGGCACAGACAATCTGGGACGTTTCATAACATTGTGTGGCATTGAACAGATGTTAGATGAAAAAAGACGTTTTGTGGAATATGACTCTGTGGTTCACTCAGAAAGATTTCTTAGTACTTAGTAAGCCCATGTTTTATTTCCAATGATATGTATTACATCAAATGAGCTTCTATATGTTCCCTGGCAAGGCCTCCTCCTGTCAGTCGGAGAGACTGGCGGTTCCTGAGCCACCCTCGAGTTCAATTCTTCCCGTCTGTCTGTGTCCAACTCATTCTCCCCTCTCTCTGTGTTCCCCTTTCCTTCCCTCTCTCTGCCTGTTATAGTACACACTCGTCTCCCTGCAATCAGCCCTGCAGCTCAGAGGAATACGATCTACATTGGCAGGTGACTGGATTGGAATAGATAATAGAGAGGAGGAGAAAGTGGGAGGAAGAATACAGATGAGGGAGGGACATATGAGCTTAAGGAGATGGCTGGAAAGATACTAAGTAAGTTGGTTGAATTGATAGAAGAGAGACTACATGAGGTGATTGAGAAACAGCGATTGAAGCTATGGATGGAGAGTAAGAACACAAAATGTGATGGCCAGTTGCTAGAGGAGATTTCTGCAAGTTGTTGATGGAAGTCCGGCCCACGGAGAAAGGCGATGGATTGATGAAGGGAACCGGCGAATACATGAACCTGCCATCTGTTTCTTCCTCCCCACCAAGGCACTACATAAGGCACCTCCTTATTGACCATGGCAACTCGCAGGATCTCAGCCATCCCTTCAGTGTGGCTGTCTCTTAGCCTGCTATGGCAAAATCCATCATGGCTTAAGATTAAAAAAAGTAAAAGAGGCAAGAAAAAAAGAAAAAAGGGAAAGAAAGAAATGACAGAACATCCGGTAGGGGAGACGGAGCGCTCCGCTGAGAGGAGGGGAGAGACGATTAGTTAATCTGGCTGAGTGCTGTTGATACAGAACGGAGGGAGCCTTTTAAATATTTACACAGTCATAATTCAGAGCCGGTTATGCAGGTGTCATATACCAACATATCTTTCTTGGGAGCAGGACAGAACAGAAGAATTATAAGAAAAACAAAAGAAACAGCATTTAGTAATTCCTAGGCATGTGGTGCACAGCGAGGAGTGCTGTAGATGCCCGTCGCCCCCGGTAGGTTGTCATGGAGATGGGTTTTATTTCTTGCTATCTCAGCTGCAGTTGGCAGCCTAAATGTTGGTCTTGTTGGCACAGTGAACCAAAGGCACCTCTGTTGAGTTTGCACGTACAACAATGTCTACGAGTTCTTCTGGTGATCAATTTTAAAAGGACAGCCGAAATAACATTGTCTGAAAAGTGTGTGACTTGAGGCTGGAGTAAGTCTGTTATGACGTACCTGAGTAGCGTATGCGGAAGCCTTTGTGGCTGGTGGTGTGATCGAAGGACCAGTGCAGGTAGACCCTGTTACTGGAGCTGGTGATGCTCAGAGGGCTGGAATAATTACCACTGAGGGTAATCAGGAGAGGGCTCTGTCTGGATGGGCCTGAGGAAGAGAGATAAATCATTTATTAAGAATAATCCATCTTTGCAATTGTCATAACTTAAAAAGGCCCTATTCTGCTCATTTTCAGGTTCATATTTCTATGTAGTGTCTCTACTGTGACATGTTTAAATGATTTAATCTTCAAAAAGGTCTTTATTTTCCCCATACTGCCTGTGCTGCAGCACCTCTTTTCACCCTCTGTCTGAAACCAGAGCCCAGTCTGCTCCGATTGGTTATCTGGCCAGCTCGGTTTTGATTGGTCAACTGTTAGAGATGTACCGCCCCTTAGCTTATCAGTTACAATGTGTAAAAATAGCCACTTTAATGATTAAGAGCGCCACAAATTGAAAGTAAACTAACACTACAAATGAGTTTTCTTTATAAAGCCTTGTATTTCATGATCTACACACTGAAAGCTGGACATTCCTTTAAATAGCATTTTTCTTGTACATTTCAATTTATAGAAATTCTCATTATGTACGGACATTTTTTTTTAATATATTGTCATTGTCATGTCAGGGATTTTAAGTTACATTACATTGCATTTAGCTGACGCTTTTATCCAAAGCGACGTACAATAAGTGCGTTCGACCAACAAAATACAAACTTGATTAAAACAGAATCATATAAGTACATCAGGTTTCATAGAGCTAAACATTTCAATGCTACTCAACTGGCTTTAGATAAGCCAGTCCTTTATTAGTATATAAGTGCTTTGTTAGTAATTCTATCGCTCGAAGTGGAGTCGAAAGAGATGAGTTTTCAGTCTGCGCCGGAAGGTGTGTAAGTTGTGCCTTTTAGTCTAATTGTGGAAAAAAAGATTCCTCCATAATTGCCTTGGCAAGGTTAGTCCCTTCCAGTCTGCAGAATACATAAAGCACTAATTGGGAACACTAGTGTGTACGATGGCCATTTACTCAGAGCATCCTGGCAGAGTTGCTGACTGTGCCTCTAATCACATGCTAATGTGAAGGCGGTCCTGAAGAGGTCCTGTCACTGTGAAGCAGGGCCTGTGTGTGATTGTTCTGTTAGTAGATGCAGTAAGCTTTGTTATGGGCGGGGAATCAAATGTCTGGCTCAGCCTCGCTCGGTATGGCTAGGCCTCGTTAGGCCTCGTTAGGACTGGCTCACTTTATGCTGCGTTTCCAGCTGGGGCAGTAACTTTAGTAGTGCAGTGTAGGCGGAGCCGTGACGTCATCTTCAATGAGCGCCCCAAAAAACAACACAGCCGTTAGCTCTTAGCACTCAGAGCTCACAGCTCCTCATATCTGTTCAGAAACTAGACAAAAGTTAAATAAGTACAAACCACAGACTGCCTGTGTCATGGCGAATACAGTCGCTGGTTTATTTATGTCTGTATAGGCCGTTGTTGTGAGTGTGGACGGTCGGAGCATATACAACGTTAGCTTAGCCGATCTCCATTCAGAAAACACGCATTTTAAAAGGTGTTTCGCCTGCCGTCTGTCTGCAGACTTGTCAAAGCATTAATTCATGGTTTTTACTAACCGGTATCAGTATGTTGTTACTTCGGCATCATTTTGAAACGTGTATTACAATTAAATCACGGTCAAATATGTTCATCTTGTTGTAGTTGTAGCCCCCTTGCCAGCGATTCTCTCTCTAGTTTAGCATACTCAGCCCGACTCAGCCTGGTTGTTGGCCCGGAAAGAACCTCGATTTTAAGGGGCCAGAAAAACTGTGAAATAGTACCCGATAGCCGGAACTACGCCAAGTGGAAACGCAACCAAAAACGGGCCGGGCACGGCACGCTTAAAGCGAGCTCCGCGCTGTAGTGGAAATGCACCATAAGTGAGAATGAGTCGTTGGTCAAGAAAGTGGGGGGGAGGTGTCATAGAGACAAAGGGGGCCACACCTGGACCTGAAAGGCAACATGATACTCAGTTCAGCTGTTCTTGATACAAAAAAGGTCAAAACGATTAGAATGCTGCACAACCTAAATAGCATGATACCAGTGTTCAGGTATCTATTTTATGATTTAATCTTAACTTTTTGGTAATTTGTATCCTTTTCGGACGTGTAATTAGCTAAAGTTTTTTTTTTTTTTTTGTATTGTTATCAGACAATGATACTACAGATTATTCAATTATTATTTAAATATTTCGTTTTGTTATTGCATTCATTTGTATAGTACTGTATCATGTCTGTATCATCTTTTGTTTCATTTGTATTTTCTTTGGTTTTAAAAAATAAATAAATAAAAAATAAAAAAATAAAAATATTTGTAGTTGACCACAATACTTTTTAGTGCAGTTTAAGACTACAATAAGTCATTACATCTTAGTCTACTTACAGTCACCACTAAAGTTTTCCTATTCTAAACTTTATTTCGTTTTTTTGTCTCTTTTATCAACAATATTGCATGTGAATATTGCCAGAGTTTAATGAGGCACGTGCTGACTTCATGAACCTGAAATAAAGTTTGTTGACCAATATTTGTCATAGTTTTTGTAATCAAAAACAAATCAACACAGACATGATACTATGTGCTCACTTTCATTACAGATGCAGTGACTCACCATCAAAGATCTCGAGCTCATCAAACTGACGGCTGGTCTGGAATTGTTCAATAGTGAAGGTGATGTTGTAGCCGGGCTCCACTTTGACCACCCAGGAGCAGGACTCGAAATGTGGGAAGCCGTTGCCTGGTGACAGGCTCATGATGACATCTGTTGAAGCTGTCAGGATCTCATTCATGGGACATGTCACTGTGAGAAAAATAAGACACATTTATTACAGGAAGAAAGGCTTGTTTACATGTAGCTTTCCACTGTTGTTTCTTACACACATACCTTAACATAGTTTTTCATTATTTTATTTTTCAGGGAATTTAATTTACATTGAAGCACAAATTGGATCGGTTAGAACCATGTTGTTGTTGGGAGGCAAGTCAATGTGACTAAAAGCATCGCTAAGCTAATTGTCATCCTGGTGTTGATGGCAAACAAAGCTGTCCAGGAAACGGCTTATACATTATTTAAGATTACTCTCTTGCCACGAGCATATTTCCTGCTCTTTGCCCATTGTCCGAATGTGACAGATGTGATGCTTATTAGCCGGCGCACGCTCACATCTGCCTGGGAGTCATATTGCTGTGACACGTCTGGGTGGATCACATACATCCGCTCATGTCCTACCCCCTCTGTCACTGTTATTTATTTTTGGACATCTCTATGGCATGCTTTGACATTTCTTATTGGTTTCTGTCTGTATTATCAGACGTTACACAACGCTTCTGTCTGTTGTGCTTTTACTGCGATGCTGTGAAGCCAACCTCTTAATTCGCCTGCTTACACAGTGGAACCATAATAACAAACTACAACATGAAAGGAAGTCAATGACAACACAATGCTTTTGCTGTTGAGTTGTTCTCCTTTCTATTGTTTTTTTGGATCACTTAATAGGGCTGAGGTCTAAAGAAAAGGACAGTAAAAAAACTCTTAAAAACCAGGACATTTTGATTTTCTTGTTTGCATTGGATTGCTTCTTTTAGTTACCATTCACATACATAAAGAAAATGTTCTCTATTGACTGTTTTATAGTGTATATTAATGCTTTCCTATATCACAACAAATCCCAAGGGTCTACTTTGATCAACATAATTGTATGAAAGGTTTTAACACTGAAGCCTTGCTGGAACTCAACTACAGCAGCTCTACAATTAAAAAAAGACCATTCTAAAAAAAACATGGTTATTGTTGAATACCAGCCACTGGCTTTAATTACAAATCAGAAATAAAAAACAAACAAAGCATAACATTCTGCATGTGTGATTTAAAACCACTTTAAAGAGCACAACACAAGGTGGTTTTTTCATGTGCGTATGTTTTTTGTGTGTGAGTGTGTTTGGGCACAAAATGTAGCAGGGGTGTAAAGCCCCCTGTTGTGTGCCGCAATTTAAATAATCAAGCCACATTAGCCTCAGGGTAAGGCAGCACTGGAAGGTTTTGTATTACAGGGCTGAAATATTGAATGCTCTGAATGACATTGTAAAAGGGCCATATTTGTCGGGCAATGTGTAAACCTTTTTTCGTGTACAAAGTGGAACTGTGCGTTTTTTTCAGTACACATTGGTGTATGTGTTTCTTAGCTTGTTCAACCTCTTTCCTGTGTTTATAGGGGAACATATCATTACAATTGCAGGACGAACATCATGGCAGCCCTGGTAAAAATTATTTGCAAATAATCTTTGGAATTTTAGTTTTTACCTAGCTTGGGTTGTCAAGTAAGTGGGATATATCGCCCCAGGTTATGTCAGATAGTGTCAGGCAAGCTGTCACTCATAAGCCAAGCATGTCAAAATGAGGCACGTTCCTGTCAATCACTTTTGCCTAAACTTGTGTCCATTCATTTTGTTTTGTATTAGCCAAAAGAAATGGGGCAACAAGTAGGGCAAAGCAAACGAATAATGTCTGAACATTTTGTTGGCTTTTTAAAATAGTGTAGATAACTGTAGAGAGACTGCAAGCAATACAATGAAAGAAAGACTGGGAATTACATGCAACAAGTGTCTCAAATAGAATTAAAACCCTCCACCCCTAGAGTGCCAAAAGAAAAAATACAACAAAAGAACATATTGAGCTCATGTTGTGGTAGCTAAAGTAGTGGGATAATAATAATCCAAACACAAAGTGAGTATGAGAGGAAAATGCTTTGTCATTTGTGAGCATCATCTCAGAAAATACAATTTCCCCCAGCATGCACAATGGTAAAAGCTAAAGTAATAGTGCCATTTTGATAGCAAACTATTCCTATCCAAGTCTGTGAAAACATTTACAACCTCAAGCACCTCAGTGGATGTCAGTGAAAAGGCACTTGATTGCACCGGGAAGTAGCGTATCAAATCAAAAGTTTATTAAACTATCAATTTTATGAGGATGAGATGTGTTTTGATGGTGACCTTTCAGAAAGCTTCAACATGTCTTGAAAACAGCTTTCTGCTTGTCTGGGAGTTGATGGAGAGCGACAGGCAGGGAGCTCTTATCTATAGGTTGCTCCTTAAGAAACTAATCCAGTTTGAAAAGAAGCACCACTCTGTTTGGATATAAACAGAAGGGTATTAGGGGACACATCTGACAGCTGGAGAAAAGGCAGCTTCAAGGTGAGATCAACCATGATAGGGCTCAACATGAAATTTCACTTTAACGAGACAAGGATTGGAATGAGCTGGTAGCGGGAACAGCAATCTGTGAGACATCCCTTCTGTTGGTGAATAAATTGTTCAACGGTATGCAACAGCCTCCCGATTAAAAAATGCGGCAGAAGGCTTCCTTGCAGACAAGCACAGATGCACACACATCTGCATCCATACATTTGAGCTTTTCAGTGTGGAGTAGTATAGACGCACACATGCATCAATCCACAATACATCAAGCATGTAGCACCGCAGAGCTGTTGAGATGCCTTTACTCATGTTGCTATTTAATTAGCATCATCTGAGGAGCGATAACGAGGTGATTGAAGGGGATGGGCCACAACACAAGCATTAGTGTGGATCAAGACCTCACAACTTGAGGAAGTCAGGGATGACCATGAAGATGAGAAAAAGGGCAATTGTAATCCATTCTGTAGGACAAAAAGAAGGGGCCGGGGCAAAATAATCTAGGGAACAAAAAGGAGATAGACAGAGAGGCGAGGGGGTAGAAAGGGACTGAGTGGGATGAAGAAAGCAGGCTGGGAGACTAATGTGATGGGTGATTATGCAGGTTTTAACCAGAAATCTGTCTGGGGGATAAACTATAGGTTACTTACGTAACCCCAGTTCTCAGAGTAACATGAAGTGAGATGTCTCACTATGGGATGCGCCTCATCGCGGAGCAAACAGAAGCATCAATCTCATTACGCCAATCCTGATTGGCTGGTGATCTTGACGTCAGCGTCAAATAATTCACCCCCTATAAGTAGCTTGCGCCACGACGCATGCGTCATTCAAAATAAGCACCTCTTCTCGCTTCACCATAGCAAGGAGGGCCGTCTGGTGAGACATCTCACTTCATGTTACTCTGAGAACTGGGGTTACGTAAGTAACCTATAGTTCTCATTCATAACACTCCGTTCGATGTCTCACTATGGGAAATTGTAGCTCCCGTATTGTCAGACGAATTTATCTCGAAAATCACCAAATCACCAAATCACCAAACCAACCAGAACTTAACAGGTAGAGCTCTGACTCAACCAGGTGCCCAGCACTGCTTGAGTCACACTGGGAGCAGAACGTCCAGCCTGTTAAGAGGCGGACAAAAGTGAGCGGCGAGGACCAGCTCGCCGCTGCACCAATGTCTTGGATGGGACAGAGTCCAGGATGCAGCCAGACCCTGAGTCGAAAGAGCTCGCGGACCCGAGGGTGCCTGCGAACTCTGACTCGTATGAGCCCCAAAGCAATTGCTTCCACAAACCAGTGGGAGAGCCGTTGCTTAGTAACAGGCTTGCCCTTATAAGGGTTAGCCCAGGACACAAGGGGTTGGTCATTATGACAAAGCACCCCTGATCTGTCCCTGTACGTGCGTAAAGCACGGGCTGGACACGGCAAATCCGGCCGCTGTTCCCCGGAGGAATACAGTGGCGGGGAGGATGCCTCAATGTCAAATGTGGTACCTGAACCAACCGCCTTAAGATAAAGGCAGGGTTGGGCTTCAACCACACTCTGTTTGCCCTGGGGCGAACTGAGTGCATGAAGACTGTACAGATAGTGCATGAGTGCCACTGGCTCGCTTGGCAGCTGCCAGGGTCAGCTTCATGTCACACTGTATTCAGATTGTACCACTCACGGGCCAGGCCCATAGAGCCAAGCGCTCTGGGTGTGGGTGAAAGATCGCCCCCCCCCGCTTGGGACAGTATGTCCCTGCGTAGTGGGAGCTGCCATGGCTGCCCGCACAGCAGCTGATATATCTCCGCTAGCCATTACATAGCTGGCCAGTGCGGAGCTATCAGGATAAGTGTGTGGCGTTGCTCTCTCACTCTGGCCAGAGTTGGGGGTATCAGAGCCAGGGGTGGGAACGCGTACAGAAGGCCCGGGGGCCAATTGTGCGCGAGTGCATCCACGCCTAACGGTGCATTTAGATCGCGCATCGAAAAGAACAGCTGACACTGAGCGTTGTCTTTCGATGCGAACAGATCCACCGCGGCTCTGCCGTAACGCACCCACAGCTGGCTCACAATCCTTGGATGTAGAGACCAGTCTGCATAAAGTGGTATACCTCTGGACAGTAGATCTGCCCCGAGGTTCATCACTCCCGGTACGTGCGTCGCTCTCAGAGAGAGGAGACGTCTATCGCTCCATAGGATCAGTTTGCGCGTCAGTGTGTGTAACTGGAGAGAACGCAAACCCCCTTGGCGGTTAATATACGATATTGTGGTCGTATTGTCTGTCCTCACAAGGACGTGATGTCCCCTGAGGAAAGGCAGAAAGCGTTTTAGGGTGAGAAACACCGCTAAAAGCTCCAGGTAATTTATGTGCGCCCGCTGGAGGTCTCTGCTCCAGAGACCCCTCACCGGGCGACCTTCATAAATACCTCCCCAACCTGTCAGACATGCGTCCGTGGTGACCACTTTCCGTGAAAGGACAGCACCCATAGGCACACCTCGTACTAGAAAAGTCGGGTGCAGCCAGTGGCGCAGTGCCATTACGCATTTCACAGTAACCATCACGTTTAGTTTTAGGGCGGCCACCCAGCGCTGAAACTCCCTCATGTGTAAGCGTCCCAGTCGT